GCAGCTAAAAAGCCAATGCAATTCTGGGCTGCATCAATAGGAGTATAGCATCTAGATCAAGGGAAGTAATAGTGCCACTGTATTCTGCTCTGGTCAGACCTCACCTGGAATACTGTGTCCAGTTCTGGGCACCACAGTTCAAGAAGGACACTGACAAACTGGAACGTGTCCAGAGGAGGGCAACCAAAATGGTCAAAGGCCTGGAAACGATGCCTTATGAGGAACGGCTAAGGGAGCTGGGCATGTTTAGCCTGGAGAAGAGGAGGTTAAGGGGTGATATGATAGCCATGTTCAAATATATAAAAGGATGTCACATAGAGGAAGGAGAAAGGTTGTTTTCTGCTGCTCCAGAGAAGCGGACATGGAGCAATGGATCCAAACTACAAGAAAGAAGATTCCACCTAAACATTAGGAAGAACTTCCTGACAGTAAGAGCTGTTTGACAGTGGAATTTGCTGCCAAGGAGTGTGGTGGAGTCTCCTTCTTTGGAGGTCTTTAAGCAGAGGCTTGACAACCATATGTCAGGAGTGCTCTGATGGTGTTTCCTGCTTGGCAGGGGGTTGGACTCGATGGCCCTTGTGGTCTCTTCCAACTCTATGATTCTATGATTCTACATTATTGATAATGTACAAAAATAAATCAGACCGATGCTGGAAATGTAAGGAGGTGGTGGGATCGATGTACAATGTCCTGTGGACCTGTAAAAGAATGAGGGAATTTTGGGATTCAGTCTATAACGAGTTGAAAAAGATGTTCAAAATTTCATTTCCCAAAAAACCTGAGGCATTTCTTTTAGGGATTATTGGGAGGGAGATTCCAAGAAATTTAAAGAAATTATTTATGTACGCAACCACGGAAGCAAGAGTTTTGATTGCACAGAATTGGAAAAGTGACACGATACCATCAAAAAAAGTTTGGCTGATTTAACTGATGGAATACGCTGAGATGGATAAACTGACAGGACAGAGAAGTGATCAAGTGAAACAAGAATTTAGTAAAGACTGGAATATATTTAAGCAATACCTGAAAGACCACTGTGGAGAATTAAATTTTTTGACTGGTTTAGATTAACTCTTGTAATAAGAAACATCAAAAAGTAGCAAAAAATTGGTTACCAATAAACTAGATTTATTTTGATATGCATTCAACCAAGAACTCTAAAGGACCCAAGTAAGAAGGGGAGGGAAGTCAGAAGTAATTAGAATATTAATGAGTCAAATGATTAAGAATATATCTTTGTTTTTCTTTATTATGATTTAGAAACACATGTACATCAACAAGAAATTGAAACTTTATACTGTGATCTTAAGTTAAGAAAGCATTTCTGTTGTTAAAAACCAATAAAGATGAATTGCAAAAAAAGAAGACGACATGATCATCAACTCTTGCTGACTGCTTATATATGGTCAAGACAGAGGAGAGGGGAAATAGACCAACTCAAGCTGTTTAAAGCAGGTTATTTAATTTCAACCATGCCTTCTAATCCAAGAGACTCTCAAATGCTGCTTGCATCTACTATATATTTTGGATGGTTGTTTGCTTGTTTTTGACACAAAAAAGCCCCATGAAACCACATTGCAGTACTCCAGTCTTGAAGTTACCATCACTGGAAAACTGTGGCTAGGTTATGTCAGTCCAGGAGTTGCAGGCAGTGAATCAGCCTCAGCTGAGATATTCTTTTTGCCACCAAGGCTACATAACTACAGTGGTGCCCCGCAAGACGAATGCCTCGCAAGACGAAAAACTCGCTAGACGAAAGGGTTTTTCGTTTTTTGAGCTGCTTCGCAAGACGATTTTCCCTATGGGCTTGCTTCGCAAGACGGAAACGTCTTGCAAGTTTGTTTCCTTTTTCTTAACACCGTTAATACAGTTGCGACTTGACTTCGAGGAGCAACTCATAGAACGTAGTCGTGGTAGCCTTTTTGAGGTTTTTAAAGACTTTGGTGATTTTTGAAGCTTTTCCAAAACTTTCCCGACACCGTGCTTCGCAAGACGAAAAAAATCGCAAGACGACAAAACTCGCGGAACGAATTAATTTCGTCTTGCGAGGCACCACTGTATCAAGAAATAAAGAGGAGTCTAATAACATTCCCAGACCACACACTTTGTCTTTTAGGGAAGGTACAGTCCCTTCCAGAAGTGATTGAACACATATTCCTTAAGAATTAAATTAATTAAATTAAATTCCTTAACCCTTTTCCAGTCTTTGATTGCTTTCAAACACCACATAAAAGCTTCTTCTGGGTGTGATTGGGGTATTGATGACACACATCTTCTGATGGCCTCATTCAGCAGCTTCATGTTGAGCAAATGGGGGACAGAAGGGATCCTTGAGGGACCCCATTCCACAAATGTCATGGAGCACAAGCACCTTGTGGGACCACTGGGAATGGGCAGCATGCCTCCATTCCTGAGAGCATATCCTGAAGATTACCATGGTCAATGCTATCAAGCGCTGCCAAGGATCCAGCATAATCAGCAAGGTTACAGTCTTTCTATTCCAGAACAGAACCCGTTCACATCCAGAGGTACCACTGTATTCGGACAATTCTCCCAAAGTATAGAATCTTCCTGAAGGTACTTTCCAGGGATGTTTACTACATAGGATGAGTTGTACATGCCCACTTCATTTACTGGCTCTGCTCCCGTTTCCTAGGCGGGGGGGGGACGGACGACCACCAGCTCTCCCCCCTTCAGCATACCATGCTAATGAATCACCACCTAGCCTTCATCTTTATGCACCCAGATTTAGCTTCCATTAATATTTTTAATAAACTCAGTGATTTTCTTACTGAGAAAAGGTGGAGAAACTCACCACAAAGTTAGTTTCTTGCAAGCCCAGTCACAATGCCACCCTGACAGGCAGTGACCAAGTGTAAGATGTGATTTAAAAACTCAAGCAGATAATGATCTGGATTAGAAATGGCCACAACTTTATTGATTACAGATATAGGTGGATTTTTGGCTCAGGCATTGGGTGTACTGCATATCTGTTCCAGCCCCCCTCCCCCGACAAAATAATTAATTAATTTTAAAATGCTGTATATGTCTTCTTCTCCCCTTATGTTTAGAATCTTAAGAAACTAAGGTCTATTTAGTCCAACATATGATTTCCAACAGTGACCAGCTAGCTCTTCCTTTTATTTATTTCCTTTTAGGGACAATGGCCAGCCAGCTCTTCTTTCAAAAATGGTAAAAACCAAAAGTGGTTGGGTGCTGCTAGTGTTACTCAATTTAAGTTAGGAAGGCCATTTCCCACACCAACTGAGGAAGCAGCCAGTTGGTTATGGGGCACCTTGAAAAGAATGGCACACAGAGTCATTGAAATCCAATGGGAGTCTAAGCCCTGTTAAAGAAGATTCCAACTAAACACCAGGAAGAACTTTTGGACAGCAAGAGCTGTTCCACAGTGGAATGGTCTCCCTTGGAAGGTTGTGGACTCTTCTTCCTTGCAGGTTTTTAAGCAGAGGTTGGATGGCCACCTGTTGTGGATGCTTTAGGCTGAGTCTTGCAGTTCAGGGTTGGACTATATGACCCTTGGGGTCCCTTCCAACTCTGCAATTCTCCCCGCACCTGAGGCCGGCTGCTTCCTTTTTGTGTCCTGAGGAGGAGGAGGAGGCCTGTGTTTCCCATAGCTGTTGACATTCTACAGGTGCAGCAATTTTGCCCTCCCTGTTTGGAAAACCCTCGCACCTGCCCAAATGAACCTTTTTGCCGCAAATGCACCTGCCGAGTTGGTGGTTTGGTTTGGTTTGATTGATTATATATTTCCATGCTGCTTTTCATTAAACCAATCCCAAAGTGGCCTACAAGCAATAAATAACAATAACATGACACAACAGAATTTGTGGGGTGTGAAACACAGAGCAGTCAAGTACAACATTCCTAGCGTGGACGTGTTTAGACATGAGGAGGGACGTTTGTCCAGCTAGTAGATAAACTTCCTGCTTCCTCCTGGGCTGGGACAAACTTCCTCCACAGTGACCGGAGGTAGGCGTGACCTCACCTGTGCTGGTTACAACAAAAGCACAGGGCAGGACCCCACCTCTCTCTCATCTTCCTTTTGCTTCCCTTGAAGAAGCATCCGTCTGAGATGCTCTCCTGGCTTCAAAGGAACTATCTCCTTATGGGATAGATTCCAGGTGCATATATTTTGTCACTTAAGTCTGCCTTCTGGGATCCATTTGTGAACAGGATCATAGAATCATAGAATCCTAGAGTTGGAAGAGACCACAAGGGCCATCGAGTCCAACCCCCTGCCAAGCAGGAAACACCATCAGAGCACTCCTGACACACGGTTGTCAAGCCTCTGCTTAAAGACCTCCAAAGAAGGAGACTCCACCACACTCCTTGGCAGCAAATTCCACTGTTGAACAGCTCTTACTGAGCTGTAAGATGAGTGAGAAAACTATTTTATACTTTTATGTAAGACTGTTGTGTCTATTCTTTTTGTGTGTGTGTTTGGTCGTGTCTGCTTCTTTGTGACCCCCTGGACCAGAGCACGCCAGGCACTCCTGTCTTCCACTGCCTCCCGCAGTTTGGACAGACTCATGTTGGTAGTTGGAGAACCCTGTCCCACCATCTCGTCCTCTGTCGTCTATTCTTTTTAGGAGGAAGTAAAAGGGGAATTACCAGGAAACTTTTTTTAGAGGCTTAAACAAGCCTGGCAAAAACGTTGTCCGCTATGTAAGTTTAAAAAGGGGAATGTTACTCTGCTAAATTGTAGAACTTGTTAACACAAGTTGGGAAGGATATCATTAAACACGATATCCTCTCCTGCCTCCCTGAACATTCCCGCAAACAGAGCACTGCAAATACAGCTGAGCCCATTTTCTGCCCCGCTGCCTGCCTGGGGGGCGCCGCGTCTCCCGCGGACCTGGCTGCCCAAGCGACGCCTCTGGGCTTCGCCCCCCCCCCCCAGCCTCCTCCTCCGCCCCCGCCCGCCCGCCCGCCGGCTCGGCCCGCCCTCCGGCCTTCGCGGCCCAATAGCAGCCGGCCCTGGCGGGAGGTGTGCGCGGGCGTGGGCTGGGGCCGTGGGCTGCTGTGTGCACGGCGACCTCATTTCCGGTACCTGCCCCTCCGCGGCGGCCCGGGCAGAGTCCGAGGGGCCAGGCCGGCTGGGAGCCCCAACCCCGCGCCCTCGCAGCTGCGCCCCGGAGGGGAGCCCGGGCGGGCCAGGCCAGGTGTGCCACCTCCTTCCTGGGCGGAAGCGCAGCGAGCGGCTCGGCCTTTTGCTGCCGCGGCTCCTGCGGCGTCGCCAAGGCGCACAGTCAACGAGTGAAGAGGAGGAGCTCTCCTGGTTGAATCGCGGTCTGTCCGGCGGGCTCGAGAAGGGCGCGTGTGACCTTCTTTCCTGGCTTACTTAGATAAAAGCCGCGGGCAAGGCAAGGTGGTTGCTGCGCAGCGCGGAGACGGGAAAGGCCCCTGGCGCGCCGTCCGGTGAAGCTCCTCGTCCCGGCCGCGTTTCCAGGCTGAGGAAATCCGCGCTGCTTGAGGTGCTGCCTGTCACTTTTGCTCCACGGTATGTGTATTCCTTTGCTCCCCAATGCGAGGTTTGTAGCCTTCTTTCCGCCTGCTACTAATCTTCCTTCCTTCCTTCCTTCGGGGAGGACAAACTCTAATAGGAACAGAAGTAAGAAGGGATCGTTGGGCTGCCTGCTTGCCTTCAAACTTTGCAGTCAAGAAGAAATGCAACAGGTGTAGCAATTGGGAAAGTTTCACCTGGGAAGGGAAGGCTGCACATGTTGAATTCCTGCCTGTCAAAGATTGCAGAGAGTATAGGAATCCTTTTAAGATTAAAAAGTGGAAACCCTGTGTTTGTTTGGCTGCGTATTCCTCTCTTTCAGCTGAAATAAAACCTAAGAGCAGCATAATTAACTTTGTCTTATTTGTTCTCCTTTTTTTTGGTCTAAACACAGAGTTTAAGCTCCATTTTTGTCACCTTGTAAAGTCCAGATACAGTGGTACCTCGGGTTACATACACTTCAGGTTACAGACTCTGCTAACCCAGAAATAGTGCTTCAGGTTAAGAACTTTGCTTCAGGATGAGAACAGAAATCGTGCTCCAGCGGCAGCGGGAGGCCCCATTAGCTAAAGTGGTGCTTCAGGTTAAGAACAGTTTCAGGTTAAGTACAGACCTCTGGAACGAATTAAGTACTTAACCCGAGGTACCACTGTACTCTAATGGTATTGCATAAATAGCTTGAGGGGGAAATGTTCCAACAATATTCTTGTTAAAATAGGTTAAAATAGGTCAAGATCTCTTAGCAATTATTATTTATTTCAAACTTTTAAAAAGTCTTCAGAACTATGTGCAAGTTATGCAGGGATTAGTGGTGATAAAAGTGTGGATTTCCCCCACCCCACCTTCTTCCTGGTCTCAGGAATCAAGGGGTCACAGTTCAAATCCCCGCTCAGCTCTGAAACTCAGCCGGTGACCTTGGGCGCATTGCTCCCTCTCAGCCTAACCAGCCTGGCATGCTTGTTGTGAGGATAAAGTATGGCAACCTACATTTGTGTCTGCCGCCCTGAACTCATTAAAGGAAGGGTGCAGTACCAATGTGATAGGCTAGCAAAACCAGTATCTTACATATTTTATTGGCTAGACTATTTTAGGATTATGTAAACGATTGAGTTTCACAGAACTCCTCTTCAAGATGACGTGGGGAACGATGATCTGTATCAATTCTTGTGAATCAAAAGCTCAGGCTGGGATGATGTAATTGCATTTTATCAGACTTTTGGACTTTGTGTTGGTAGACTGCGCCCTGTATCCTAACCAAAGGCTAGGGTGTTTCAAAAGAAACTGCCTGTGAATTCTGGAGTAAAGGGCCTTAAAATATCTCTAACAGAGTAACATAGAGGTTGGCGCAAAAGAAAGATCTTGTAAGAAGCTGCCATCACAATTTAGGTGGTAATTCTTTCTGTTGAATATGTGAAGTATTTCTTTGGTTTTGGATGTGGGTCATATGCACACCAACATAGGTGGGTTGATTCTGTTGTCTTGGATGGGTGATAGTGTTATCCTTGAGACAAGGGCAGAACAGTTGTGTCTCTGACATAAACAATAGTTGGAAGCTATCCATACCCACAAAGCAGGAGGCTTTGCTGCCAAAATTGGATTTAGTTCTGTGGTTTGACAAGGAAAAATGTTTCTATTCTAACCTGCAGGGTTACCAGATTTTTTACCCCACTCCCCTCCCCCGAAATTATTGAGAGTGTAGTCCTAAAAGTATCCAGGGCATTGGAAGGACATAAATAACAATAAGTAGGCTTATGTATCATTTTTAAAAAATCTGTAGTGCAGTTTATTTTCAGGAAGATAACTGAAAGCAATAACTTGTTGCTCCTGAGTGGATTGATGAATATAATTTATTTTATAAAAATGTAGTATTTCTGGCAAATGGCATTTAGGTGGCAGACTAGACAAAATTACCATTTTTCTGAATTATCAGTTGTAAGCTGACACTTATACCCAGCTTTCAACTCATAACTGGAGTTAGTATAACACCTTAGTAGGTTGTAACTACACTTTGTAGGTGAAATACATTGCTATGCTATACTATACTATACTATACAGTGGTACCTCGGCATGCGAACGGGATCCGTTCCAGAGCCCCGTTCGCATCCTGAACAGAACATAAGATGCGACTGCCCGTGCGCGGGTCACATTTCGCCGCTTCCGTGCATGCACGTGACGTCATTTTGACCGTCTGTACATGCGCAAGCGACGAAACGTTACTTCCGGGTTGCCGCGGAGCACAACCCGAAAATACTTATCCTGAAGCGTATTTATCCCAAGGTATGACTAGACTAGACTATACTGTACTGTACTATACTATACTATAGTTGGAACTTGTGCTGTACAATGCATAAATAATGAAGGCTGCTCCATCATTTTAGTGGGATTATTTATTTCCAGGTAAACGCTAGAAAGATTGGCCTGCAAAAGCATCTAATTATAAGTTTAAACATGTGCAACAACACTTTCCTTGGTGATCTTTCTGTGTTCAGAGGCATCTTATGTTAGCAAAATGCGTTTTGGTGATTGACCTTGGTGACTCTCCTGCTTTCTATGATCCAAGTACATAAGATATTCCTTCTCTCCTTCCCCTCCCCCACTTTCCATTTTGGGAAAGCAAGGCATAGTTATCATGGGACGTGGGAGGAGGAATCTTGCCAAGTTACTTGTGCCCTGCATTGCTGCAGTAATAAGATGGAGGTAGGGATTTTGGAATTGAGGATTTGTGTGGATAGATTATGTTAAACCTGCTTGCTTTACTTTTAAACATTAACTATTTGTTACTTTTTCACCCTTGCCTTTTTCATTAATATAATGTGAATTTCAAAGTTTTTGCATTGGAATAAATGTAGCTGTGGACCAGCATTGCACTTCTGGTCTTCTCATGGGTAATGATGGCTGCCTTATCAGGTTGGATTCCCCCCCCGCCCCCCATCACAAGAGTTTTATTAGCCCAAATGTGATGGGTTGTTTTGATGTAATTCTAGATGGGAAACTTTGCCACAAAATACACTTTCTTAATCTGTTTTAATTTACCTGCTGAGATTTAAATCAAACATGGAAAGATTAGCTGCGGAGAAATTAAAAGCTTGTTGTAGCAAGTAAATGAAAGTAATGTTTCAAATATTTTCTTTAATTTGTTGTAGGAGTTAATTTAAATGTAAGAATTGTCTGTTACTTATTTAGACTCGTATACCTTCCAGCTTTTGCTCTCATCCTTTAAGCCTAAGTTTCCATTTGTTTTTTCCCCTTTGGGATGGGTGTGTAAGAGATAGGATTTATTCAGGTCATTTTTAAATTTAGGCCTCTTGTGACTAGGTGTGTATTCATTTTAAAATGAGCATTTTAATGTATGTAAATGAAGCGCCTACCATAGGGGTGTTACTGATACTGCAAAGGCATGGTATTGTTTTTGTGCACATAACACCAGCAGAAACAAGGAATGTACTTATCCTTAATCTTTTACTACAGTTGTGAGACTTTTGACTTGTAGAATGCTGTTAATATTTCCACAGAGAAGTAAAACAGCAAATTGGAAGACCTATTGCACAGCTTGTTAAAATTTCTGACAAGTTTTAGTAAAGAACAACAAATAAGATTTTTAATTATATTTCCTATATGTTGCAGAGTTTTTCTGTTGTGTCTTCTAAGGTTAGCTGTGACTTTGATAAAGTGTATGAGCTCTCGTGTGCATCTGAAGAAGTGTGCATGCGCACGAAAGCTCATACCAATAACAAACTCAGTTGGTCTCTAAGGTGCTGCTGGAAGGAATCTTTTTATTAAGTTGTAGGATATCACCCTAAACAAATTTATTCTTGCTCATGACATAAGCTTTTGTTGTCTACAGTCCACATCAATGCAAAGTGTTATTCTGGTCAATGCAAAGTGTTACGCTTTCAAATTGCTTTGTTTAAGAATGACCACTTACGGTCAGTTACACAGTTGAGTCCCGGGTAACAAGACCCTCTCAGCCCTGCTGATGCGGTCCAAAGGAAAGCAGAGCAAGATGTTTGGCATCAGCTTGGCTGCAGCAGTTGCCAGAAGGAGGTGTACAAGACGCCATCCGATTTTCTTGTCCAGATTTATGTAGGGTTTACTCCTAAGCCTTTTATTCTCCCGAAGAGGCAGCAAGTATGGATTTTTCCTCATGGTTTACCGTGAGTATAGCCACAAGGTGGCAGAGGCTTAGGACCAGAATTTTCCTTCTCCTAGTTGGGCTCCCTTCCCAGGTTGATGAGCCCCATCTGCCCCTCACTTCCCTCTACAGTGTGTGCAGAATACGCTTTCTTGACTGTTGGACCCACTCTTGTCCACTCAATCTGCTGGAGCCTGTCTTCACATGCAGGGGAAGTCTGCAACTCACTGAGGGTTTGAAACCCATTGGCTACCCTCACCTGGTTTAGCCAGCCTGTTGAAGCCATTCCCAGGGTGTGGCCACTGTTGCATGATGACAGCTTCTAGTTAATAGCATAGTTCAGTCGTTTTCAACCTATTTGAGTCCACTGCTCCCTTGACCAACTACATTCTTTCTGTGGCACCCCAGTGGGGCTCAGGAGCCCAGTTATTTGACCCCTTGCCTGCAGAGCTGACAGCCTCTCACCCTTTTTCAAACACCTTCCCTTGTGGAGTGTTCTCCTCTTCCCTCTCCTGGGGAGTCCTCTGGACAGCTGCTGCTGCTGCCCTCGCACCTGCCCCAAAGAGAGGGGCCTCCTCACACCGCCCCCCAGGGGCCTGGGAAGCACTCCCTGGCCAGCCCCAGGCACCATTCGCCTGGGGAGCTTGTAGCAAGGGCTGCTGCAACAAACAGCTGTGCAAGCCTTGGGGAGGCAGAGATGCAAGAGGGCATTAGAGGAGGAAATAAGCAACTATCTTACTTTCCAAAGACATCCGAAGGCAGCCCTGTTTAGGGAAATTTTTAATGTTTAATGCGGTATTGTGTTCTTAACATTCGGTTGGGAGCTGCCCAGAGTGTTTGGGGAAACCCAGCCAGATGGGTGGGGTATAAATAATAAATTATTTATTATTATTATTATTATTATTATTATTATTAACCATCATTCAAAGCACCCCAGGGTGCCAAGGCACACTGGTTGAAAACCACTGGCGTAGTTAATAGCATAGTTATAACAAGCTTTACTTTTCTTCATTTCATATTGTTCTCACCGTGGCTACCAATTGCAAATACAGTATTAGGCAAGCTTGGTCTGATATTTCAAAAGTTTTTAGCTTTTTAAAAACTAAATAAAGGTAAAATAAACTAATTACAGGTAAACTAAATATGCTAATTTAGATCATCTAGGATATTAATCTTTAAGGTATCAGAAAACACACTCTTCTTAGAAATAGAATTATTTTAGTTTGTATCACATACTGCTATCTTTAAGCCTTGGGCAAGTAACAGTGTAGTAAAAACACAACAAAATTATGCTGCATTGGATATTTGGGTGGTTGCACCTAAGCATAATAATACTTTAAAGTCGATAATCAGTCATTTTTGTTAATTTTCATTCTTGGCCACTGTGTAATTTCCATTCACCAAGATCACTAATCTAATCTTTTCCCAAATTTGATTCTGAATGTGGATTTTTGCTTTGGTTGCCACCTCTTTTCTTGGCCCTAGTCCTATGCATTTAGCTGCAGCCTGGCATATAGAAATTAAGCTGATGGTTTTTTCCTCATAACCTTTTCCCCAAGGCCATGAAATATTTCATTTTCTTATTTTTTGTGTGAGCCGGACTGTTAAATGCACAGGACGAAGTCGAAGAGTGGAAATGGCAACCTTAGAAATAGTATACATAGGAGAATATGTAAGAAAAAGCTAAGAAAAAATGTAAGAAAATAAAATAAAACTTTTTGGTATGGACATAAAAGGTTGAGAGAAGATCTACCTGGAAGGGGCAGGTCCTCTGAAATAGAAAGGCTTTCCTAGGCTCCCTTGCAGGAGAGCTGATAGGAGGAAATAATAGTGATCTCATGCACATAAATCTTGAAGATATTTAGCAAAAGTTAAAAATGGGAAGAAAACAGCTGCTTAGAGCACAACTTTTAATGCACTGCTTAAGCATGAATTATACAATATTTAAGATACAGTTGAAATCTTTGTAAAATAGTTATGTGTCTTGAGCTGTAGTCCCAAAGAGCTTTGAAGTCTGCACTTTGCTCAGAGAGCTAACATTAAAGATACCTAGACAGAAGCCTTGGGCAAATTGATAAAACCAGGCTTGTTCTTGATATCTAGTATCTGCTTGTATAGATCTTAATATATGGGACTAATAATTTACCTGCTGATTAGATTTTTTGAAAGTGCAGTTGCTAGATTGGATAGTAATAGACATACCTTGTTAAAGTTTGGGGGAGGGGGCAACAGACTTGCGGAAGTTTGCATGTGCCTTAGCTGCATTTAAGAGTCCCCTTTCCACGTTCTGTTTATCTTATGTAGTACTCTTTTTCTTTTTAAGTGAAAACACTAGAAATCCAGAATACATGGTGAATTTAACAACAAGCAAGTCTGCCAAGAAAATGGAAGGGAAACATATTATGGATACAGTTTTTGTTTCTAGTTTTCCAAGAATCTGTTGTAAATGGTAAGTAAAATTTGCATTTTGTATATTATGCAAACCACTCTGATTTCTTCAAGGCACTGTGGAAAGAAACTATTACAGATATACTTGCTTGAATAGGTGTAAGTTGACAAAATAATATTTTTTATAATATCAGAACTCCTGGTCTGTTTTGTTTCACATCAGCTCAAGAGTTCAATTCTTATTTTGTTGTTGGCTCACTCACAGCGTTCAAAATTAGCCCATCTAATTTTGACTGGCAGCCGACCTTTTGCGAGGCAGTGCAGATGTCCAGGCGCCATTGTTTGGTGCCTAACATCTCCCCCTGGCAATACCACACCAGTCAGTTGGTCTGTGGGGCATCAGGGCACCAAAATACATGCCTCTTTTGCTGCTGTTCTGCCCTGCCTGGTTGACGGGGTAGCACGGTACCAGAAGACGCATGTGCCGAAACATCCTAGGCAGCAACTCTTGACGGGTCTCTGCCAGAGGCACAGTCGGCGGCATCTGCTGCTGAGGAGAAGAGCTGATGGGATGCTGCCAAGGAGAGGAGCTGTTTGGGGCTGCCACTCAGTGCTGCAAACGTGGAGCTGTTCATTTGGCTGCTCCAACTTCTTAAGCAGCTCTAGAAGCTTCTGCACTTCATTGCGAAGCTTCTTCATTCTGTTCCCTTCTTTCTATTCTCCAATACTGCGGAAGCCAGCTGATTCTGCCTGGCCTTAGAGTCTTCTCCCCACGTTGGAGATGGGGAAGAAGGGGAGGGAGGGGGAGCTTCACCTGACAGAGAGAGAATAGGAGGAAGGGGAGAGGAGCTGGCAGAGGGAGAGGAGGAGAGGAGCTCTCCTGTTGCTGCCTTGTGGGGTGAAAGAGTCACGGGGTTCTTTGGAGCCATGGTGGTGCTGATGCTGAAGTGCAGAAGCTGCCAGAGCTGCTTACGAAGTTGAAGCAGCCAAACAAGCAGCTCCACATTTGCAGCGCTGATGATGAACCCCAACGGCTCCTTTCCTTGGCTGCTCCTCTTGCCAAGGCCGTTGGCATCCTGCTGCCACCTCTGCTGCTGTCCCCCATGGCCACCAGGAGCAGCCCTCTGCTCCTGAGGCTCGAGAATCTCTGCCTGAGCTCAGACAAAACCAGACCCAGGCAGCTTCCACCAAGTAAGAAAAAAGGACGAAGCGAGCGGGGAGATCTGCAGGGAAGAAATGCATTTACACATTGTGTTTTGGCACCCATAACCCAGGTTCCAGGTGCCATGTGGCGCGTAGCTTTCCCATCCCAATTTTGAGCACTGCTCACTCAGTAGCTGTGAAAGGACTTAATGTTTCAGGTGTCATAGTTTATAATAAAGTATGGATCTCAAAATTATCACATGGAATGTGAATGGACTTAACGAAAAAGCAAAGAGAAATAGGGTGGCACGTGTTTTAGAAAAACAAAAACATGACATAATATGCCTGCAAGAGGCCCACGTCGCAAAAAACCATAAAAGAGTTTTATCAAACGAGAGACTGGGACTAGACTTTATCTCTTCTAATAATTTGATAAAAATGGGTGTAGTAATACATGCAAAGCCTTATTTGGGTACTAAACTACTACTGGTATATAATATGAATTAAAGCTGAAAAGCTTTGAAGAGATAAGAGAACGGATAGTGGATTGGTTCCAATATTATCAACTATTTGAAACATTCAAAATAGATTTAAAAAGGGGTTTGCGACAGAAACATCTAGATTGGAAACAGATTTGGTCAACTCCTAAATGAAAACTCTGTAAAAAATGTACCAACTCCTCCTTGACTGGGAAGTCACTTGTTTGGAGGATGCATTGATTCCCTTTCCCTGCACTTGTATCTTCTCTGGGTGGGATTTCAGCAGTCAGATTCTCACACACGTTCCGATCCTGAATTCTCCTGCATTTTTGTCCTGTGCTTCTGTCAGGTACTCATCCCGATTGTGTATATTAAATTTGTTTAATAATTAACTATATTACATTTATTAAAGGTGTATTTAATTATATATTTAATAAAATATATTAGTCTTGTATATTAACTAATATTATATTCTCAATACTTTAATTAACGATATGGAAATTTAATTCAGTGCTGGCACACAGATTCTATGTCAATGTATTCTTGCAGTCCACTTGGCCTGAGAGGTTGCACCACCCAGGTCTATGGGAAAGAATGGCACGTTGCAAGTCTCAAGGAATAGCAATGTCTAGCTGTGGAAATGACATGATTTAGGATAGCTGTGGTATTTCACAAGTCTTAGAGTCAGAGACTAATGTAGCTATCTAGTCAGTTCAGCTTAGAATCAGAGACTGGATGCGCAAAGAAATTCCCTCTCACGGGTTTCTACTCCTCACCTTCTGGGGGATTTTTTTTCCTGGGTGGTAGAGAATGATGTTACTGTGTGTTCCTTCTTAATGAAAAAATGTAGACTTCTACAGTTTCTTATCTGTCCTGTGCCTATAAATAGCATTACAGCAGTATAATATTAAATTAATAATGTATTATAGAATTTTGTTGTATTTATTTTACTAGTTTAGAAAATCTAATCTTAATGCATTTTATATTTTTGATGAGTAAAGTGCTACTACATCTCTCTTTTATCCTTGTGGAAGACCAAGGAGCCTGTATGTTTGCAGTTTAAGAACTGGCATCTGGGCTTGTGAATTGTCTAAGGATATCCTTAAATCTGAGAGAGTGGCATTTGGGGATGCAGAAACTGGCCAGGGACGGACAGCTGCTTGGGGCTATAGCCACTACTCTGGAGCTTACTTATGATGTCAGGATGTATATAGCAGGCTTTCCTGGGATGATGGGAAATGCAGGGAATTAAGGAGAGAGAGTATGTAGGGTATCCTACAACTTTGTTTTCAGGAGTATTCAATGTGTTTGTAAATATGAATAATTTTACTAAAACAAAAAAGTAAATAATTTGTGCAGGAGCTACTAATTACGCAATGTAACTACTTCAGATGGTGGTATCAGCAAATTTATGTTTATGCAAGCTCATATGGCATACTTATTCATAAACTGCTGTTCGAATTCCTCCAATTTTGTGATTATCATTGCACTGCAGGGTTGTGCTACATGACCCTTGTGATCTCTCCCAGCTACAAAATTCTGTTACTCATATTTACACACTATTGCTTTTCTGTTCTTAAATATGCTGCTTTAAATATGCTACAATTTTTCTTCGCACCCTTCTGGATCAGGGTAGCTTGACCTCAGTGGTCCATGCATTGGTAATATCAGTACTTGATTAGTGGAATGTGCTTCATGTGTGCCTTTGTATGGGGTCTAGAAGCTGCAGCTAGTGCGAAATGCGGTGGCCAGACCGCTCACTGGAACAGGTTACTGGCAAAATGTTAACTCCTTTGCAGAATGGTTGCTGATTCGCCCAGGGTCAAGGTTCTTGTGTTAAGTCCCAAAGCCCTAAACCAGGCATAAGCAAACTCGGCCCTCCAGATGTTTTGGGACTACAACTCCCATCAGCCCTCGCTAAGAAGACCAGTGGTCAGGGATGGTGGGAGTTGTAGTCCTAAAACATTTGAAGGACCGATTTTGCTTATGCCTGCCCTAAACAGTTTGCCTCCAAAGTACCTTAAGAGCTGCCTGGTTCCTTGGGATCACAGAAATCTTCTGATGGGCCACTTTTGGTGGTCCTCCATGCCCCTGAAGTTCAGCCAGCTTTTAGCAAGAGTGATCCTTGAGTGTGGCAGACCCTGTCCTGTGAAACTCCTTACCTGCTTTCCTTTAGGGTCCTAAAAACTATTTCTCAAACCAGCATTTGGAATTTGATCCCCCCCCCAACCAAGTTATATTGACATGGTACTGATATTTTTGCAGATGCTGTTATATTATGGTTTATGTTATATACTGCCTTGTTCAGGGCCACCTTAAGCATATGCGGCGCCGGGGTGCAAAGATCCGCCTGGCGCCCCCCCCCCCGGTTGCCCAGAGTTGTTGACCTTTTTTAGGGTGGGCTGGTGAGGCGCACAGAGCTGGCCTGGCCAGCCACCTCAACAGCAACAGAGAAGCCCGAGGCAGCAGCAGAGTAGGGCCGGGCACCTGGGGGGCGTGCAAGCAGAGCCCAGTTCAACAACAGTCAAACCCGAGGTGGCGGCAGTGGCAGCAACTGAGCGAAGCCAGGCGCCTCGTGTGAGCAGCATGCGCTGGACAGGCCTCCCAACGGCCCACCAATCCCAGGCGCGCAGGAGGGTGGAGCCGGCCGGAGGGCTGCCTCAGCGCCTCGCTCACCCTGCTCTGACAGGCTCTGCTCCACTCAGCAGCGGCTGTCGGCTCTTCCCAATCCCCGGACTCCAAATCTCTGCCCCGGACTCTCAGCCTGGAGCCCCTGAGAGCCCGCGCCTGGGTGCCCCACACCCCTAGTGCCTATGGGTAAGACGGCCCTGTCCTTGTTATGTTTCCTATGAATGTGTGGTTTATAAATACTTAAATAAAAAAGAAATAAAGCTATTTACTGAAGTAGATATATGTTGAATAGGGTATATTCTTGAAAACCTTTATGAGCTATTTTCACTTAACTTCTACTGTTCTGTATACAGTGGTACCTCTGGTTACGTACTTAATTCGTTCTGGAGGTCTGTTCTTAACCTGAAACAGTTCTTAACCTGAAGCACCACTTTAGCTAATGGGGCCTCCCACTGCCGCCGTGCCACCAGAGCACGATTTCTGTTCTCATCCTGAAGCAAAGTTCTTAACCCGAGGTATTATTTCTGGGTTAGTGGAGTCTGTAACCTGAAGCCTATGTAACCTGAAGCGTATGTAACCTGAGGTACCACTGCACATAAATACAGGTGAAGGGAAGAAGAGGAGAGCAGGTGCTAGTAAGACTCCTTGCCCTCCCGCCCTCCCTTCCTCCCTCTGTGTTGCCAGAACATGCAAGTGTTGACCAGAGAGAGAGAATGAGAGAGCACGCATGCTTCTGTATCTGCTGCTGAGAAAATGCAGCAGAAAACGTGTTCATGTATAAAGTGTATAACCAAACAAGGAAGAAGACGCTGATATGAGTTGTTGTATTAAGTATGTGTATGCTTTCCCAATATTGTATTGTAACACGGAGTGATGCAATGCATTGGCAGTAAAAGCAAGAAAGAATACCAGTGAAAGGACATAGGATCGTTTTTCTCTTCAGCCCAGAAGAAGAATTCATTCTTGTGCAGTTTCTTCCGCAAACAGATGTTAGTTTCACTGTAGCTTTTCAACTTGTAAATAATTGTGGTCTGTTTGTATTTTGTAATGAATCGTGCAGGGGCTACAGATGGTGTGGAGGCTGCAGCTGTGCAGATGCAGGGAGAGCTGGGATGGGGGGAAGCTGGAGGAGTGCACTGGCCTTCCTAGGCAGGAGAGGAGGAAAACAGCTGAGAGAGAAAATTGACGGGAGTGGGAGAAATAAATTGAACTGAAGGAAATTTAAGTTTTGCTGTGAATAGGAATAATAAGCATTGGTTGTGCTGGATATTGATGAGGTAAGACACTTATCTAGGACTGGGAAAATTGCTATACATATTTAATTGCTAAATAAAAAAAGGAACTTCAGAGTGTACTAACATTTCGTTCATATGTTATGCTGTGAAGTCATGATACTAGTTTCCTAAATGATCTTCTTCTGGGTTTGAGTTCACAAGAAAATGTAGCATGTGATACATTATTCTTGTGTAGCTAGAAACTATGGTACAGTCTGAATAAACGAAATGCACGTCTGGAGAGAATCTTGCATGGAATTTCTGTTCCTGTGCTTCCTACTGCTGAAGAGGCAATGAAAGCAATGACTTGCCTCTAGCACTGTGGATTCAGCAGAGGCAGCACAGAAAACTGTGACTGTGGGTGGAATTGCTTACTATACTTCTATATGGATTACAAGTTTTCTTTTTTCTTTTTAATATTTTCTTTTTCAAGTTTCAAAATAACAGCATTTTTCTTTTGTTTATACATATCCAATCCAAATTTGCATTTAATGACTCCCCCCCACCCCCTCTGGTTTCCCTTCCCCCCCTTAAATTCTCCTTGCATATTATTATATCTCTCCAATTAATTTTAAGTTTTCTATAGAATCATTATTTAAGAAACTTTAGCATAGTTTGCTGGGAAGCAATGTGTGTATACTGTATTTCATATTTCAATTTTGCATTCAAGTTTTCCCAAATGGTGCCCTTATTGATCCATACTACTAGTGAAAACAAGGCCAAAGTATTAATTGGAGACCAAGTAGCATTGTGCTGTTGAGTATCTTTGAGAATACATAAGAGGTAGAATTGTACAAAACTGGCAAGAGTTCAATAACTGTTTTGCAAAGTAGTCAAGTAAGAAAAATGAAATAAAACCGGGAGCGGGGCAGAGTTCTAAAAGATTATCTCTAAATAGAGAATCTGCATAAACCTGAGATTCAGCATAGTTTGAAGGCTAAATCATGGTTTGTAAAGACCACAAACCAATGCAGTTATAACATAACAGATATAGGAGAGAGAGAGGGATCTGGACACGTGGCGTGATCACACAGTATTCTGCACTTGAATTATTGTTGAAGCTGGTGTTTTTGTCTTGAGGTCAAAAGTCCTAAATGAGAAGTGAATATTTAACTACTCTTTCAAGGACAGTTGGTAATCTTTCTTTATTGGAACATGAGATTAGAGGGTTGAAAACAACTCCAAAGAGATATGACTCTGGATGGTTTTGGCTGCCAGAGCAGTGCAGCCTGTGGATTTAAAAGACCATTCCATAATAAAAATGAGACGCACCGTGAATCACCAGGGAATTTTTTTGGGGGGCGGATCTTGGATTTAAGCATCGTCTTCCTTCTCTCTGCCTGCACCCACCTTATGGTGGTGATTTCCTTTACATTTTTTTTCTAATCCTGTACTACCTTTCCCCACCAACAAAAGACTCCTAGCACGAAAAAACTATGAATGGATCTATTTATTTGCTATTTTTTTGCCCCTCCTTGCCTATTTGTTTATATGTGCAACATTCACACTTCCTTACTGCTGCATGTGCATTCCATTTTCTCTATGTAAAATTATTTGCTTGGACATTTCATAATAATTAATGAAAACTAAACTATTTCAATGGAAAAAACCAATATTTTTCTTATTTGACAGAATGAAAGAGATTTAACATGTCCAACTCCCTAAGAGAGTAGCTGGCAGAGTAGCTAGCAGTGCAGTGAAGAAAGATGATCTGGAATACCAATCTGGATAGCTTTAAAAGAAGATTAGACAATGTTATGGGGGATAAGGCTACCAGTGGCTGTTGGGCATGGAGCATAGTCATCATGGCTATTCTTGAAGGCAGCAGGCTTCTGAATATCAGTTGTTGGAAACGGAAGGTGGGTTTCCCACAGGCATCTGGTTGGCCACTGCAAGAACAAGATGCTGGAACAGCTGGGCTGTTGATCTGGTCCAGCTGATGATGATGATGATGCACAAATTTGCTAGCTTGATTCTTGAGCTGTCAATCCTTTACCAAGAAATGTAAGCGCACACCTACCAGCACTTGTGAGAATGCCAGGCAGTACAGCAATTCTTGGGGAGGCGAGATGTTTTAAGGGAGATTGGTTATCTCAGATCCCAAGTTATAGTAGCAGTGTTGAGAATTCTGATATCACCTCCAAAATATTAGTTACATATTTATATGCAATTTAGAGCCCAGTGTGGGGGGGAAAAACATCCCCCATGACATGTTTAATTTTTACTATGTGTTTTGTGTTTTTTATATTGTATTTTTATGTTGCGAACTGCCTTGATATCTACAAATGAAGAGTGGTGTACAAATTTATTAAATAAATGAAAAATAAATAATGCTAGTTTACGACTGTGATTGAACTTGCAAACATGAACCCATGACTTGACTAGACTATTTTTTTCTTTCCCCCAGGCATTTTTTATCTTTTTATTTATTTCCATTTCTAAAAATTGTACACCACTTGATTATATATTTTAAAACCCTCAAAGTGGTTTAAAGAGAGATAAAACAATAAACTTATTGGTAAAATCAGTTAAAAACGGCCATTTAAAATATTCAAAAAAATTTAAAATGAGCATTGGTTTGCATTTTTCACAGGTATGTTCTGGTGCCTGCCATTTTTCTGCTGCATTGCTATTTTATTGTATTGTATTATATTCAAATGGGACATGGGTGGCGGTGTGGGTTAAACCACAGAGCCTAGGACTTGCTGATCAGAAGGTCGGCGGTTCGAATCCCCGCGACGGGGTGAGCTCCCTGCTCGGTCCCAGCTCCTGCCAACCTAGCAGTTCAAAAGCACGTCAAAGTGCAAGTGGATAAATAGGTACCGCTCCGGTGGGAAGGTAAATGGCGTTTCCGTGCGCTGCTCTGGTTCGCCAGAAGCGGCTTAGTCCTGCTGGCCACATGACCCGGAAGCTGTACACCAGCTCCCTCAGCCAATAAAGCGAGATGAGCACCGCAACCCCAGAGTCGGTCATGACTGGACCTAATGGTCAGGGGTCCCTTTACCTTTTATTGTATTCAAGGCCCCCCGGGGGGGGGCTTTGGCAGGCATTCCACAGGAATGTTGAGTCCATGACTTGCTTTTCACTTCTATGAATAAGCAACATGTGAATACAGTGGTACCTCGGGTTAAGAACTTAATTCGTTCCAGAGGTCCGTTCTTAACCTGAAGCATGTTCTTAACCTGTTGTGCGTTGGAAGAGGGGTAGCCTTATACGGCGAGTATATTCCAAACTCTGTATTTTAACTGGAAAAGTTGGGGGTCGTCTTATACGCCCAGTTGTGTTATACACTGGGAATACGGAAAATTTGAACGTGGTTTGCACCATTGATGCTATAAGTTACATCTCTGGGTATTTTGAGAGGGAATCATACAAATATGGCAAATAAGTGGCTCACCTTATCTTGCTAAGATATTTGTTTTGCTTTCAGACGCCTAATAAATGCTGAGCGACATACTTTGCTTCACTGAAATGGTGGACACAGAAAGCCAGCTTTGCCCCCTCCTTCCCTTAAAGGATGAGGATCTTGGTAGTCCTTTATCTGAAGAATTCTTACAAGATATGGATTCCATACAAGAGCTCTCACAATCTATAAGCGGGGATAGTTCAGGAGCATTAAGTGTAACAGACTTCCAGTCACTGGGAAATGGAGCTGGGTCTGATGGATCAATCATCACAGGTAAGAATGTTATTATCTAGAATGGATTTAATCAGATTTTGTTTTAATGTATGGCAGCAACCTTTTATGTACCCTTGTGACACCTAATACAATTTGAAATACTTGGTTTGCTATATTGCTGAAACATGATTTGGGATTTGTGTAAACCAGGGGTCATCAGTGTGTCCACCAGTATCCCAAGGGACCTGCAAAAGAAACCCACCATGCCCAAGAGACTGTTTGCTCTTGTTGCTCAGCTCTTGCCTCTTCTGTTTAGAACTCCCCGGCTTAAACAGGGGTTGCCAAGATGGGACAGGCACACTCAGCCATAAACTTGATTGGTAGACACAATACAGTGTGCTTGTCTATTATTTATTAGAACCCTTTTCTTCCATACTCCACCCAACCATCCTCTATAAGTTCAGTTGCCATCAGAATTCCATATTTTCTCACAGGTTCCTGTCATGCAGTTGGAAAAAAGTAATTTCTTTTAATTCACAGATATATATTCTTTTGCTTAACTAGGTGCCTCTCAAATATTTTGAGTTGTTTTGTTTAGCTTCCAGGCTTATAGGCTTTCAGTCACCTGAGTTTGCTGTTAGTATTTGCTAACTTTTTTTTTTAACTTTCAGACTCTCTCTCGCCAGCATCCAGTCCCTCCTCTGTGAATTTTTCCACAGTTTCGGGTAGCAAAGATGAACTGCCCAGTGCATCGTTAAATATTGAATGTAGAATATGTGGAGATAAAGCTTCAGGCTACCATTATGGAGTCCATGCTTGTGAAGGTTGTAAGGTACTGTCCACAATATTCTCTGCATAACGATATTCCAGAATAGCAAATTAATTACTTTAGAGCTGTTGAATAAAAGTTTTTTGTTTTTTTAATAGAAATTAGTAGTTGGATCTTATTGAGAAGTGCTTTGTGAAGTTAGCAGTCCTAGCTTCATTTACCTGGGAGTAAGCCCCTTTGAATTCAGTAAAGCTAGACTTCCGGGGTGGCGCCATCGGCAATGGCGGACTCCCTCTGAACTGGAGGGACCAGCTCCGCATGAAACGGGTCCTTTCTGCTATGGCGAAGCGGGGACCCTTCCAGAAATCACAGGCGGATGAAGCCTGTGACCGTGGGACTCGGCGGGCACCCTTAGCGCCCCCCCAACCCGCAAAGGAACCCACTAACGGGCTCCGAAGCGAAGAGGGGGAAGTGGCGCGGTGCTGTGAGTCAATTGCTTTTTCCGTGGAGCGAAGCTGCATAGCCGTTGCCGGAGAGCGCTGCCTTTTTCCTGGGACAATTTGGCATCTAAAATAATCACCCGTGAGTACTTAAATATTGAACAATTGGACTTTAAATAAGAACTGGCAAGCAGAAAGGAATTGGACTTAAAAATTCACCTTAATTTGGTACTGAAACGGGAAGGTCTAAACAGGAAGTCAGCCTTCCGTTTCCTTGTAGTCAGAATAAAGCAAAGACAACGTAACTAGAGCCTAGAAAATCACTTTCAAAGGATTGGTTTTCATCATTTAAAATTGTTGAACCCCCCTTCGGTAGCAGGAGAAGAAGGGGGACCTTTTTTGGACTGTTTAAACCTGCAGAAGTGAGTTTAAAGCAAAGTAACTTTCCACCGTCCTGATCCTGGAGCGGGGTGTCAGAATTGACGTTTGAAGCTCATTGACCAGAGACAAATGTCTTGGACAGATAGCTAAAAGAAGAGTAATATTGTGATCCCATTGTTTCCTTTCGCATTTTAAAGGAACAAATATTGACAAAGTATTTTAAAAAAGAAACTTTGTTGTTATTGTCCTTAAAAGAAAGAACAACCAGAAGTTTTCCCCCTAGAGGGGGACTGTGAAACTGTAACTAATTCCAGGGAGCTTGCAGCTGCCACAGATTACAACCGTGGGAAAGGACTTGTGACCTTGCAGGACAATGTTTTCAGAAGCACTGTTGTGTGCTCTCTGTAAAGTAAATGCCCTATTGGATCAGTTAAGTCAGAAGACTCATTTGATGACTAATGCGGTCAGAACTTTTGAACAGGTAGTGGGAAACTATGTGGAGCCCACCCAGGAACTAAAACAGGAGTGTGCCATGACAGAACAGTTAAGAGAAGAGGATGTTGCTGAATCTCGAGCGCCAGAGATGGAGGGAGCTGCGGCCCAGCAGGAACATGAACTCTTGGATTTGATAAATGAACTTGGAAAAAGCCAGATTTGGAAAGATAAAGTTTGGGTTGGCTTGGAAATGGGGGGTTGGATAGACCCCCCTAAAATGGACTTTTCGAGTCTGGCAATGGGCCGTCAGATGTTTGGAGCTGTGGGGGCTCTTAATTTTGGAGGGAATCTGAAACATCTCTTTAAATACTACATGGAGTCTAGTCTAGACTATGGAAAAGGGGCCGACTTGTTGAAAAGGGTCAAAAACATTACCAAGCTGGAGTTCCCACGAGTGAAAGGAAAATATGAAGAAGAGCTGCGGAAGGGACATGGAAGTGACTTGAGGGCCTCGGATATAAGATTACCAGGTTAATGTGCTAGATCAATGGGATAAAAAGGACTGACAAACCCGGGACCAGGAGGAAGGGACGCTGGATGAAGACTGGATTGTTTTTATTTCTTTTTTTATCATTAGGATTGTTTTATAAAATCGATGAATATTGGAAAAATGTTGAAATGAAATTACTTGGCTCTTGCAATAATGTTTAAAGAATTAGGTAAAAATGTTATGATTATGAGAAGTTGGTAAAAATAAGATTTAAGTTTTAAGCTTTAAGGTTTTCTATAAGATAAGATGAAAATAGATTAAGGTAATGTAAAATGTTATGGTTATGAGAAGTTGGTAAAAATAAGATTTAAAAATTTTAAGCTGTAAGGGTTTCTATAAGATAAGATGAAAATAGATTAAGGTAATGTAATGACAGAATACTGTGAATTATGGAAAGGATTTGCTGCGATAACTATTAATCAGGATACAAGAAAAGGGAGGAGGAGGAGTTCAAGAAAGAAGGTAATGAAAGTGGAGAATTTGAGAATGATGGTCTTATTTTTTCTTTTTCTTTTTCTGTATTATTGTATTTAAATAATATTTATTGAAAAAATTTCAATAAATATTATTTTTTTTAAAAAAGAATTCATTAAAGCTAGCTTCTGAGACATGGGGAGAATGTGCTGTAAGTTTCTAAGCATGATTACTTGGAAACAAACTCTATTGACACCCATGTGCCTTACTTCTAATTAATTTTGCTTCAAAGTATAGTGTGTCATTTTTTTACATGAAGTTTTTTGGTATTACAACTTAAATGTAAACTATGATTTAAGATGGAAACTACCTTTTCCTGTACACAGGACACATAACTATGTTGTTTTACTATACACAATTCAGTCAGAAAATTACATTACTGAAAATAGTCTGGAATAAGTTTATAACTACTTTGCTCATAAACCAGGCTTTTGTTTGATGTTTTGAGAATGGTTTTATTTGACCATTTTGTAAATTGGACAATGGCTTCAGCTTTAGTAAGACTCAGCATTCCTCAGTTTGTTCATACCTGAGCACAACTGTAATGGGTTTGGGCAGGAATGTGCTTAAGTGTGGATTGAGGGATAGCCTCTGATGCTCTGGGTTATCCTTCTCCAACCTGGTGCACCCTAGAGGTTGTGGACTACAATGTCCTCCTCCTCCTCCCTCTCTTCTTCTTTGGCGATCACTCATAGCCGAGTAAGATTGTCTTCCATAAACACAGTTTTAACAGTGAGTCCGTAAGTGACTGTGGAGGCCAATTCTGGATCCACAATCCTTCCACAGTGGGGACATTGGTTTCCAGGTGGGAGTTGATCACAGTGTGGATTTGCAAGGCGTGCCTCCCTCTTAGCATGTTTCTCCCTTGCGTACTGAGTTCGAGTGTCTTCAAAGCCCATGACACCTTTGGTAAAGGCTGTTCTCCAACTGGAGCGCTCACAGGCCAGTGTTTCCCAGTTGTCAGTGTTTATACTACATTTTTTTAGATTTGCCTTGAGAGAGTCTTTACACCTCTTTTGTTGACCACCAGCATTACGCTTTCCATTTTAAAGTTCAAAATTGAGTAGTTGCTTTGGAAGACGATCATCAGGCATCTGCACAACATGATCCGTTCAACAAAGTTGATGTTGAAGAATCATTGCTTCAACACTGGTGATCTTTGCTTCTTCCAGTATGCTGATACTAGTTCGCCTGTCTTCCCAAGTGATGTGTAAAATTTTTCGGAGAAACCACTGATTGAATCTTTCGAGGAGTTGGAGATGGCGTTTATAAGTGGTCCATGTTTCACAAGCATATAGTAAGGTTGGCAGTACAATAGCTTTGTAAACAAGCATTTTGGTTTCCCTGCGAATGTCCCGGTCCTCAAACACTCTGCACTTCAGTCGGGAGAAAGCCGCATTGCAGAGCTCAGGCGATGCTGGATTTCAGCATCAGTGTTGGCCCTTGTGGAAAGATAACTGCGTAGGTAGGAGAAGTGATCAACATTTTCCAACGTTACAGCATTGAGTTGGGTTTGTGGCACTGCAGAGGAGTTATTTTGTACTTGCTGGTGCAGCACTTTGGTTTTTTGGATGTTGAGTGATAGGCCAAGCTTTTCGTAAGCTTCTGCAAAGATATTTAGGATGGTGTGAAGATCATCCTCTGAGTGTGCGCACACTACGTTGTCATCAGCGTACTGAAATTCTATGATGGAAGTTATTGTAACCTTACTCTTTGCTTTCAGCCTGCTCAGATTGAAGAGCTTTCCATCTGTTCGATATATGATTTCCACTCCGGTGGGGAGTTTCCCTTCGACAAAGTGTAGGATCATGGCAATGAAAATAATGAATAGAGTTGGGGCAATAACACAACCCTGTTTAACACCTGATCCCACTGTGAATGGTGCACTTTGAGAGCCATTGTTATCTGCGATTGTTGCTGTCATATTATCATGGAGGAGCCGAATGATGTTTACAACTTTATCTGGGCAGCCAATTTTCAGAAGGACAGTCCACAGGGCATTATGATTTACAGTGTTGAAAGCCTTAGTCGGGTCAATAAACGCCATATACAGGGGTTGGTTTTGCTCTCTGCATTTTTCTTGAAGCAGTCAAGCAGTGTAAATCATGTCCACTCTCCTCCTAGAACCATTTTCAGATTCAGGAAGGGTCGCCTCGGATATTCCTGCTTGGCAGGGGGTTGGACTCGATGGCCCTTGTGGTCTCTTCCAACTCTATGATTCTATGATTGTTAAGAGATGGTTTGCTAAGATCCTTGCAAGAATTTTGCCAGCTGCAGCTAATAGAGAGATGCCTTGATAGTTTCCACAATCAGTTCTGTCACCTTTTTTAAAAGAGATTGATAATTTTGGCATCCCTAAAGTTTGCTGGGATTTCTTCTCTTTCCCAGATTTTTTTGATGAGCTTGTGAAGTTGTTGCGTAAGTTCAGTTCTGCCCACTTTGAAGATTTCAGCCAATAGTTTGTTCACAGGCTGCAATAATGGATGGTCCAGTGTTCCTCAATGTTATCAGGGAATTCTGAAAGCAGATAGTCCTTAAGAGTTGTTCGGAAGCAATCTCACTTAATGGGATCTTGAAGCACTTGAGTGTTCATTTTGCACCTTGGTCTCCTTCCTTGTAGCCTGCGTTGAGGTATAATTTTGATAGCCATCATGGAGCGTATTAGTCAGTAATCTGTCCAGCAGTCATCGGTGCTCGTCATAGCTCTGATAAGGAGCACATCATGGCGATCTTTAGCACGGACAATGACATAGTCTAAGACAGCGGTTCTTAACCTGTGAGTCCCCAGATGTTGTTGGACGACAACTCCCATCATCCCTGAGCTCTGGCCTTGCTAGCTAGGGGTGATGGGAGTTGTAGTTCAACAACATCTGGGGACCCACAGGTTGAGAAATGCTGGTCTAAGTGTTGGTTTCTGCTTTCCTTCACTGTGCAGCTCTGCTTGTCACGAGACAGGTGTTTACATTCCACAGTCTGTACTGTTGGAGTTTCTCACGGGAAAGGGAGACTGGATGTGACGTACACTGGTTTCCTGTTTTTCACTGTGTGATTCTCTCCGAGCTGTCGAGGAGAGAGGATGCATTCTCTGCTCCGGCAGAGGCAAGATGTCTTTCTGTAATATACCAGCTTTGAACTGTAAATAAAGCAATATAGAGTATGCAGCACGTACTCCTCATCCTTCCGCTGGGCACGACAGACTCTGCTTTAAATCAACACGTGGTTATGGGCCCAGAGGTCGAATCGGAGTGCCGGCAAAGGATCGGAATGCAGAGGGACAGATCGGAACGGAATCTGCTCTGCGCGTAGAAGTGATTGATGAGGTATGTGCTACTGCTCCGGGCAGCCTGCCAGCTTCAAGTTAATGGCTTTATGGCTGGACTTTGAACTTTTAAAGCCGGTTTTGCCGGGAATAGGCAAAAGGGCTCCCAGGCACAAGTCACTATGCTGGGAAATCGAAGTAACTTTTAAGTGCGCTTTGTAATGAAGCAGCTGCAGCAGTGACGCAGCAAGATTTAAAGCAGCATATGACGCTGAAGGCTAATGCCAGAGTCATGATGGCCCTTCAGGATGCTTGTGGGATTCCTAAGCTCAACAAGAAAAATTACAGCGACTGGGTTCAGTATGCAGAGGCAATTCTGCGGAAAGAGGGTTTGTTTGAGGTGATTACAGGAACCCCCAGTTCCAGTTACAGATGCATGGGAAGCTAAGGATTCCAAAGCAAGGGGAACTCTTACATTGATAGTATCCCCAGAAGAGCTCTGTCTATTGCGTGATAAGACCTCAGCCAGAGAAATTTGGGACGCTTTGAGAGAGGCTCACTTAAGGACAGAAGCTGGATCCACTATGTTTTACTTTAACAAGCTGCATAATATGGCTCTTGCTGAAGGTGGAGATGTGCGTTTACATCTAATGGAGATGCAAAATCTGAGACATGAGCTGCAACAGAGAGGACTCAACTTTCCAGAGGCTGTGTATTCTTTCATGATACTACAATCTTTGGGTTCAGGTTGGGAGTCTGTTGCAACCCAGATTGCTGTGCAACCAACTGCTCAGCTGACAGTGGACTTTGTTACTGCCGTGATTTTAAATGAAGCAGATCGCCGGGGTGCTAGCTGCATGGGCAAGGGAGTCTTCACAGACGTCATCCCATAGTGCAGTGGAACCACCAGATGGCGCCAAAGCTTTGAAGGCAGTGAAATGCTACTCGTGTGGACGTCTAGGCCATATGAAGAGGGAATGCAGACATCCCAGGGCCAAGACAGAGCAGCGCAGCGAAAGCTCATCGCGCGGAAAAGGCCGAGGCAAAGGCAAAGGTCCGGTGTCTAGGACAACGCAGCACAAGGCTATGGTTTCACGCTTCACTCCAAAGGTTGCAGAGGTCCAGAAGACGTCTAGATCTTTCTTCGTTGTTGATTCAGCGGCCACCCACCACATGTGCAACGATAAGAAACTGTTTGTGTCTTTTACACCGCAGGAAGGTGCGATTCACCAGGCGGATGACCACACTATTCCCAGTAAAGGCTACGGAACTGTTGTTCTTCACAGTTTGGACTTATCGATACAGAATGTGCTTTACGTGCCAGACGCCAAACATAATCTGCTCAGTGTTGGACAGCTGAATGAGCGGAACATTGACGTTTCCTTCAAGAACAAGAAGTGCATCATCACAAAGAAAAATGATTATGTATTGCATGCAGAATATGTTGATCATTTGTTTGTTTTGTATTATGATGATGTGGTGCAGGATGACACTTGTTGCATTGCAGGTTCTAACAAAAGTTTGCATGCAGAATGTATTCACGATTTTCATCGAAAATTTGGTCATTTGCATTTTGAGGCAGTATCTAAAATGCCTGCCTTGGTTGAAGGTATGACTATTAAACCCTGCAGGTACCACATGAAGTGCAAAGCATGCGCAGCAAACAAAGTGAAAATGGCTGCGAAAGGTAAGGTGTCTAGTAGGACAGCTACAGAACCATACCAGGTTGTTCATGCTGATTTGGTTGGACCACTAGCGCCCTCTTTGGGTGGAAATAGATACTTCATGGTTCTCATTGATGCATTTTCTAGATATATTTTTGTGTACAATCTCAAGCAGAAATCGGAGGCTTTTCCTAGGTTCAAGGAATTCTGTGCTTGGTTGGAAAATGTGCATGGTAAGAAGATAAAGACTCTTTTCAGTGATCGCGGGGGAATTCACTTCTCAGCAGTTTGAAGCTTTTCTGACTGAGAAAGGAATTCAACACGATTTGTCTAGTCCTCGCTCGCCATGGCAGAATGGACTTGCGGAACGGGCAAATCAGACATTGCTTCAAGGGTTAAAGACCTTGCTGCATGATGCCAATCTTCCAGAGAGTTATTGGGCCGAATCTCTCTCGTGTTTTGTTTACAGTTACAATCGCAGGTTATCTTCAGCGATTGGTTGTACCCCCTATGAGAAGATGTTTGGCAAGAAGCCATACATCAAACACATGAAGATTTTTGGTTCTGACATGTGGGTTCGCTCACCACAAAACTCCAAGTTAAACAAGCGTGGATTGCATGGTATCTTTCTAGGTTATCAGAAAGGGTCTTACAGAATAATGATGACTGACTCTAAGACAATTAAGCTCACGAGAAGTGTTGAGTACAATGCAAAGTGGGGGAGAATGTGGGAATTTTCCAATGTTATCCTGATGACGGTGATGAGACTGAGGATAGTCAAAAGCAACCACAACAACCCACACCCACTGATGAAGGTTCTGAGTCTGAATCTGAAACTGAATCGGGTGATTCAGAGGATTTCGAGAGTGCGAAAGCCTCTATGCGACCCTCTGAAAGCTCTGATCAAGAATTGGAGGAACCATTGTTCACAATAGGTCGTTTTTCTCCTAAGAAGGAAGAGGAGAGTGTTGAAGACTTAAGGCTAATTCGTAGGTCACAGAGAGCCACAAAAGGCAAACCTCCAAAGAGATTTGCTGATGAGTTTGCTACGATAGCAGTAACAGCTGTTAAAAGCTCCAAGAAGGTATTTGAACCTTCAAGTTTCCAAGAAATCCAGGGTTTGGATTCAAAGGAAGCTGAGCCATGGTTAAATGCCATGAAGGCTGAGCTTGATTCCTTAGAAAGGAACAAAACATGGGAGCTAGTACCAGTAGTTCAAGGAATGAAGCTTCTGGAAGCAAATGTGTCTTCAAAGCGAAGACAGATCAAAATGGCAAGATAGTCAGACACAAAGCCAGATTGGTAGCCAGAGGTTTTGCACAGGTACCAGGTCAAGACTATCACGAGACCTATTCACCCACAGTGAGATATGAAAGCATTAGGCTTATGCTCAAGCTAGCTGCAGAGGAAAATCTACACATTAGTCACCATGATATTAATACAGCTTTTCTGTACGGATCTCTAGATGAATCACTTTATATGCTTCCACCTGATGGCGTACAGGTAAAACAGGGATTTGTTTGTGCTCTGAAGAAATCCCTTTATGGTCTCAAACAAAGTGCACGGTGTTGGCACACAAAACTCACTGAAGTATTGTTTTCTCTAGGTTTTCAGCAAGGGAAAGCTGATCCATGTGTATTTGTCAAAGAGGAGGGGCAAAAGAAACTGTACTGTTTGTTTTATGTTGATGATTTATTATTCTTTTGGAAAGATGTTGCAATGTACAATAGCGCCCTAGCTCAACTGAAAGAGCACTTTGACATGAAAGATCTTGGTGAGGTAAACAACTACCTATCTCTGGAAATAGAGAGAGATCAAGATGGTAACATTCTAGTACACCAGTCACGGAAAATTGCTGATGTGTTAAGCAAACTAAATCTGATGGATGCTAACCCTGTAGACACACCGATGACAACAGGTTATCAGGTAGATGACACTGAAGAAGCATTTTCTGACACTACACTGTACAGGAGTGTGCTAGGCAAGCTAAACTTCATTGCCAGATGTTCAAGACCAGACATTGCTGTTAGCTGTAATTTGCTAAGCAGACAAGTCAACAATCCTAGTGTCAAGGATTGGAAAGCTCTGAAACGCATAGCGCGGTATTTGAAAGGCACTATGCATTACAGACTGAGATTTAACAATCAGAAGTCTGGTGGTCTTGAGATATTTGCAGATGCAAGTTTTGGAAGTGACGCTACAGACAGGAAAAGTACGTCTGGAGTTTGCTACATGTACAATCAGAGTCTGTTTGATTGGTCATGCAAGAAGCAAACAACAATTAGCTTAAGTACTTGTGAAGCCGAACTGAATGCACTGTCTTATTCACTTAAGGATTGTGAGTGGTTAGTACAATTGTGCAAAGATATGAAAATTCCTGTCAAATGTCCAATCCAGGTTTACCAGGACAACAAAGCATGTTTGGCTTTGCTGAAGTCTGAAGGTTGTAAGCAAAGCACAAAGCACTTGCAATTAAAGTTGCAGCATGCTAGGGAATGTATTCAGAAGGGACTCGTAACGGTGTCCTATATGCCAGGTAATGAAATTCCTGCTGATGTATTGTCCAAGATTGTATCAAGGGATCAACACTGTACCTATGTGCAGAAGTTGGGTTTGTACTGATATTGTGCAAACACGCTGCCCAGTGATGTTCACAGAAAGGGGGAGGATGTTGGTTTCTGCTTTCCTTCACTGTGCAGCTCTGCTTGTCACGAGACAGGTGTTTACATTCCACAGTCTGTACTGTTGGAGTTTCTCACGGGAAAGGGAGACTGGATGTGACGTACACTGGTTTCCTGTTTTTCACTGTGTGATTCTCTCCGAGCTGTCGAGGAGAGAGGATGCATTCTCTGCTCCGGCAGAGGCAAGATGTCTTTCTGTAATATACCAGCTTTGAACTGTAAATAAAGCAATATAGAGTATGCAGCACGTACTCCTCATCCTTCCGCTGGGCACGACAGACTCTGCTTTAAATCAACACTAAGAGGTGCCATCATACCTCCATCATATGTCCATCATACCTGACCATTGGCCAGGCTAGCTGGGGCTCATGGAAATGTAGTCCAGAATCTGAAGGGCACCAGGTTGGGGAAGGCTTCTTGGGGAGGCTGGCTTTAGCATACAATACATTATGAAATGAGTATCATAATGCTTTTACTGACAGATAATTGAGAGATTTGTACTGGGGCAAAATAAGGATTCATCTAGTAGCAAAGCGAGCTAAAGAACTGGAAATAAAGAAAAATTGGAAGTGCCTATGAAAAATGCCATATAAAGAATTATTGGTACACATGCCTCATGCGATCTATTTTAACACTATGCTATTAACTCAAAGTATCTCATTTGACTTGTTATGTTCAGAGTTCCATAAACTTGGGCAGACCTTGGTAACCGAGGCAAAACTTGTAATTGAGATCCTGCTGGAACAGATTTATGCATATCTACTCAGAAACAAGTCTCACTGTGTTCAGTGGGGCTTACTTATAAGTAAGTGTGCTTTGGACTGCAGATATGCATAAATTTGGGCTGTTGGCCCCTGACCTCTTGCTGTATCCTCCATACAATATTAGGGTCCATTGCCTGCTTCCCTCCTCTGCCTTCCAAGTCTGTAGCTGGAGACAGGGTGGCAGGGTTTCCACAACCTACACTAGGCATTGGAGGAGCTTGGAAAACCAGGTTCACTGTGGGAATAGTTTCTGCCATGCTTTTAACTCTGAGAATAGTGTTAGAGGAGGGGAGCAGGATCTTGTATAGTGGCACCATGCAACCCAAACAGCCACCCCTGCCTTCCCCTCTGGGACTTGTTTTGCTGGTTGGCTGGGTGTAGAAACACTTGGCCTGTCTACTGTCTACATATGGCCATTGGTGGTTGCTGGCAGAGGCACTCCTGCCCACAGCTTTGCTCAAACATCTGCCTCCACCTTTCTCTTTAGAAAAGGAATGTTTTGGCTAATATTGGCAGTGGGTGACAGAGGCTTTTGGAGTGCACGGGTCTCCCACTCTTGAGAGAGGCTCTTGAGAGCCAGTGTGGTGTAGTGGTTAAGAGCGGTAGTCTCGTAATCTGGGAAACCGGGTTCGCGTCTCCGCTCCTCCACATGCAGCTGCTGGGTGACCTTGGGCAAGTCACACTTCTTTGAAGTCTCTCAGCCCCACTCACCTCACAGAGTGTTTGTTGTGGGGGAGGAAGGGAAAGGAGAACGTGAGCCGCTTTGAGACTCCTGAAGGGGAGTGAAAGGCGGGATATCAAATCCAAACTCTTCTTCTTCTTCTTCCCACTGGCCAAACAGCAGCTCCTTTCTAGCTTTGAGCTGGAGAGGTGGGTGGGAATCATTTCTCATAATTGCATCTCTAAAGCTTGGTGCAACTGTGTGGGATGTTTTACCACCTTCGCTTCATCAGACTTGCCTTTGGGGAGTTGGCAGAGCTGCAGAAGGTTGTTGAATAAGATTTGCATTAATTGTGTTGGAATTTACCTGTGTAAAGTTGGAAGTCTGTTTTTCTGATAACACACGATAATTTAGGTTCCCACATGTCTTGATTCTATAAAAGCTTCAAATGTCCCAATTATTTCATGTAATCTAAGCAAATAATTTGAGTGGTGGTGTAATTTAGTGGACAGTTTGTTTGGAATTTAAGATCGGATTGAAATTGCTAGATTCCTGTTCTAATAAGGGCTAGAGATAGTTTAAGAGAACTGAATGTGGTTGGAGAGAGTTATCCCTGCACAAAATGTTTACACACATTTTTGTCCAGCTGAGGCTTCCGTTGACTCTATCTATCTACAATTCTTAAAGCCCTGGCAAAGCCAGAAATGATGGTAGGAATAATAAAAACAAAGAGTCCTTTGGCACCTTAAAGACTAATACCTACATTGGTTCATAAGTTTTTGTAGACTATAGTCTACTTCATCAGATGTACAAAGTATTATCCCGAGTAGCAGATATGTCAGAAGGAAATGAAATGCAAAAAAGTATGGATGCTAATAATGATCTTATAAACAGGGATCATACACAAAGGAACATAATTTATAACACAGACATCCTTATACTACTAAACCAGTTACCATGTAAATTATCCTTTAGGTAAGGTATTGAACAGATCCACTGAAAACATTAACACCCTGAGTATATATGAGATGGGGGAAATTAAGAGCCTGAAAATCTGGCTCTTATGTCTGTGTTAACCATAGGTTGATATGTTCATCAGAGCAAGGAGGAGTTTCACAATGTAGTATTATGTGTAAATTAATATTTTACATAAAATTTGCTACTATTACTCTAACATCTACATACTGTATAGCTGAATTGGGGGGGAATGTATAGAACGATCCTAGACATTTTTACTTGGAAGTAAGTCCTACTGTCTTGAAGTGTTTTCTCATAAAAAACAGGTTTAGGATTGTAATGCAATTCAAATATAAGAAGCTTTTATTATATCCTAATGTCTGGTCTTTAAACTTTTCACAGGGCTTTTTTAGGCGAACAATCAGACTAAAACTTATATACGACAAGTGTGATCGCAACTGCAAAATTCAGAAAAAGAATCGAAATAAATGTCAGTACTGCCGTTTTCAAAAGTGCCTTTCAGTTGGAATGTCTCATAATGGTAGGTAAGAGTGACCATAATTTTTGTTTTACTTCAACAAAAAATAAGTTGGAGAATGATTCTACATGGATAGCTGGTACGACATCTTATGCAAATACAGGACTGAAGCAAACATGGTTTGGATTCATATGTTCCCATCCAGATATGGAATACATTTTCTGCTCATGCAAATATTGTTCTGTATCTTGTGCTAGAAAAGTCAAATCCAAAGTTGATGGTCTACTTGCACAAACAGAAACATGAGAACTGCTATAGGAGCCTACTAAATATAACACTGCGTGAATGTTTGCGCAAGCATTTATTGAATGCCATGTTCCTTCTGTTCTCCAGTCTTCGGATCTAGTTTGATGTCAGAAGGTGAAGAAACACAGAATTGTTATGAGCAATTCCAGATATTGCAAGGTAGCAAAGGGAAAAGAATGGAATCATCGTAGAGTTGGAAGGGACCCCAAGGATCATCTAGTCCAATCCCCTGCAATGCAGGAGCCTCATCTAAAGCATCCAAGACAGATGGCCATCTAACCTGTGCTTAAAAACCTCCAAGGAAGGAGAGTCCACAACCTCCTATTGGAGTCTGTTCCATGGTTGAACAGCTCTTACTTTCAGAAAGTTATTCCTGATGTTCAGTCAGAATATCATTTCTTGTAACTTGAAATCACTGGTTCGAGTCCTACCCTCCAGAGCAGAAGAAAACAAGCTAGCTCCATCTTTCATGTGACAGCCCTTTAGATATTTGAAGATGGCTATCATATCTCATCTAAGTCTCCTCTTTTCCAGACCCTTAATTGTCTTGGTTGCTCTCCTCTGCCCACATTCCAGCTTAAACTGTGGTGCCCTTTTTCCAGGATGATGAGGAACCATTAATTAATACACTTTGGGTCAGTCAACCAGCTACAAATCCACTTAACAGTTACCTCATTCAACCCACATTTTGCCAGTTTCATCACAAAGAATATCATGGGGGGCTTCGTCAAAAGCCTTCCTGAAATCAAGGTACACTATGTCCACAGCATTCCTCTGATCCATCAAGCTTGTGACGCCATCAAAAAAAGAAATGAGATTTGTCTGACATGACTTGTTTTTGAGAAACCCTTGCTAGGTCTTAGTAATCACATCATCCTTTTCTAAATGCTCACAGACCGACCATTTGATTATCTATTCTAGGACCTTTCCTGGTATTGAAGTCCACTGGTCGGTAGTTACCTGCATCCTTTTTCCCCTCATTTTTGAAGATGGGGACACCATTTGCCCACCTCCAGTCTGCAGGGACTTCACCTGTTCTCCAATAATTCTCAAACATCATAGACAAAAGCTCTGAGATTACATCTGCAAGCTCCTTTAGTACCCTCGGATGCAGCTCATCAGGCCCTGCAGATTTGAATTCATTTAAAGCAGCTAGGTGTTCCCTTACCACCTCTTTTCCTATCTTGGGCTACAAGCCTCTAATCAGTTTCAAACTATTCACATATTGAACATTGTAGTTAAAATTCATTCACAAATTTCAATGTAAAATTGCTACAATAGGACACAGAATGTTGCTAGGTCTGAATCTGAAGGTGCGCCATTCTGAGATAACGCCAGTGACTGAATCAATGTTAGGTTCCGCTTCAGTTGTTACACAGTTTGTGTGCTGTTGGTGCAGATAGGAATTCAGTTTAGGGAGGGACAGTACTGGTGGCTGCTATATTGGACTATGGTCTGGTTGGTGATACACAACTCAAATAAGCCACTTCTTGGTTTTTATTAATATAAGAAAGATGTTTTTGATGCATTTATCTGTGGGAAGTGTTTGTTTGCAGTTTTAATGCAGTGTGTGGGAACTCACTACATTAACACCCTATTTCTTTCTGTACTTCAAATTGCACCCTCTTCTTCTCATTATACAAAGCATCACTCTGCACCTCATGGTTGCCCCTTTTTCTTTCCCTACTCTACAGGTTTCTCCAAAGCCTCATCTTTCTCCCATCCATTTATTCTGTCTCTGTTTTTGCAGTGTTTCTTTCCTCTTCACACACCTTCTCTAAGCCTTCTTTCTCAGTTTAGCTGCAGCTTTCCAGCAATTCACATAATTAAGGAGTTGTGGGTTAGCTACCCACAAAGGCTGTAAAAACTGTGGCACTGCTACCATGTGCTTCTTAGTAAAAGGAGATGATGCATTGATGCAGTCATTCTCCCACTTCTGATGGACTTGAGTAGACCTTCCCCAAAAAGATGTGGGAACGAGCAGACCCGGTATCTTGAATTCTTTATGGGGTCACAAATAGATAGGAATGGGGTCTCAGCCTGTGGGGCTAGTTTACTCCTTGTGCTGCTGTTGCTAGGATCCTGGTAAGCTAGTATTTGAGCTTAAGATCAGGCTTACAACTGGAGAACAAATGTTTTTGCTGTTCCACTTTAAATATGTTTTCTCCTCAGCGATTCGATTTGGACGGATGCCAAGGTCAGAGAAGGCAAAGTTGAAAGCTGAAATTCTAACAGGTGATCATTGTATAGAAAATTCTGAAATCGCAGATCTTAAATCACTCGCCAAGAGAATTTATGAAGCGTATTTGAAAAACTTTAATATGAACAAGGTCAAAGCCAGACTCATACTTGCAGGAAAAACCAGCAACAATCCAGTAAGTATTTGCCATCATAAAGTTTAAAAATAGCAAACTAAGCAAATGGTGAGCTAATGTGTATGTAAGACAAGTAAAAGCACTTCTAAGAACTGCGGATGGAACCGGCTGTGTTAGAAGAGGCATTTCCCATTCTCTCTCTCTCTCTCTCTCTCAGGTGTGGGAGGTGCTTATTTGGTGACATGCATTATGGAAATTTCTTCAAAGTATATTAGTTTATTTCAGTGCAAATTTATGTAGATTTTAATGACTAATTGCTTGATCTGTTAAAACCTTCGTATGAGCAAATTTTATTTTAATCTGGAGGCAGCCTTATTATTATTATTTGTTTATTTTGAGGATATGTACCCCACCTTTAACAAGTTTTCTGGACAGTTTACATAAAGTTAAAAAGACAGTAAAACAAATAAAAGTAGAAAGATAAAAATTGCACAATATAAAAGAGCAGCATGAAAGTAATACTTAAAGAGAATGTGCTCTGGATACTTTTGTAAATGGTGAGTTAAACCCACACCAGTCGTTCTGAGCAGCTTGTGACGAAAGCTTTCCTAAGGACTGGAACTTCGTAACTTCTGGCATTTTGAAGTATTGTTGCTAGGCAGTTGACTATTGCATATTTAGCCATTTTCATAGAAGTATACATCTGAACTGGGCAGTCTCATACCACGTAACCTCTTCAACTGCTTCTAAGCAAATGAAAAAGAAATAAAGGATATGGGGCTTTAATTATAGGGACACACACGCCCCTTGTCGTGTTGCCCGTAGATGAGTATGAAAAGTTGCAGCCTGTATGCTGAAATGGTCCCTTTTACTTTTGAGCCTGTTGTTCTATGTGGTAGCCATACTAGGCTAGGTGGTTTTGCGTTGGGGGTGAGAGGGACAGAAGGAAAGGGAGGTGGAAGAGATAAATTGGAGATATGTGAAACTTTATCTGCTTGGCACAAGGAAACACATAATTTTTTTCTCACAAGTCCAACGGGATTTAGAAGTGCTTATCTTTTGGTTGGATCTTGTCCTGAAGGTTGTTCCCCCTGCTCCCCCTCTTTTAGAGGATGTAAGTCGAAAACGAATCCACTAAAAATACTAATGCCATAATCCAGCCAAAGTTAAACATCCTTCAGCCTCATTCATTTCACGTCAAGGGTGCCAAATTTACACTGGACACTTCCTGAAGCATATTTGGCTGAGGGGGGGGAGAGATCCCCTGGGGTGTGTTTGTGGGAGCAGGGGTGGTGAATGAGAGAGACGGGGGGGGGAGATTTTGTTACCGAATGAACTTCTTTGACTGCATTGGGAAATGATTAACTGGGTTTTAGAAATGACTACGCTTGCAATACCTTAGTTCTCCAGCAAAAGCAGCAAAGTTTTACAACATCTAGTTTGAAATGGTCTGAAATGGCCTTACATCATTCCTCTCTAATTGTATTTACATCAAAAGCAAAAAAATGAACACAGGATTGAAAAGAAAATTGGGATTGTTATTTCACCATTTAAAGGTGGTGTGTCTATTTGAATCAATAGCCCTCATTGCAGTAAAGATTATATTATTTTAAGATCACATGTAACTATGAAAGTATTCAGGCAATGTATGCATATAATAAATTGCTCAGTATTCCACGACTACTTCTTACAATCCCTGGTGGTACATAGTAAACTGATTTTGAATGGTCAATTTTCAAAAGTAAGTTGTAATTTTGCCAGAGTTGCTAGAGTGTCAAAGAAAGAAAAATGTGTTGTGTTTTTTTTTTAATCCACATGAATAGTCCTAATGATGTGGGTTTTCCAGAATAAACTGAATTGGAGTCTTTACCACACTGAATTGAAATATTTGGTTGATGGGTGCAATTCTGTCCAGGATTACTCAGCAACAAATTCAATTAATGGCAATGGGACTTGCTTCCAGATAGATGGGCATCGGATTGTAGTTACATTTTGCAATCCTGTACTTGCCTTACGCTAGGTGTACACCTCTATTGAAGCAGGCTCCAAATCCAATTCCATGTAGTCAGGAGCAGGGAAGTACAACATCAGGAGAAATAAGCACATCAGAAAAACAACCAAATGCCCACAGCATCTGCAGAAACATTGCCACAGTCCACTAATCAGGACTGTGGCAGTGACAACATCCACATGACACACAGGCAGCCAATGAACCTGTACACCCTCCAAGACACACCCTGCGTTGCAACACACACAGTAATGGACAAGCACCCTCACTCTAGCAGGCCTCAGTGGCACAGTCAGCAGTGCAATAGCCAAGTGCTTTAAGACCCGCACTACCAGTTGGTACTTCCAGGAGGCTGGAGAAGAGACTTGCCATCATTGCTCTCCCCAACGCTTGCCTTGTGTCGCTGTCAGCCTCCTCTGGAGGAGAGGTGGGGGAGCCAGCTGTGTGCCATCTACCCCTCCCTCTGAGCTGCATTTAAGGCAGGCTCCTGGGAGTGCAGAATCTTTATTGGCAGTTAACTTTTGTTTTGCTTTGTACCTATTCAATGTACCTATTCAACAACCTAGATGCTTGTTGTTACTTATATTGAATTTATTCTGTGTTTGCCAAATTGTTTTGTCGTTTTTGAATTTTCTGACATGTTCTGTATTTTGTATAGTCATATTTCTAATACTCTGTATTTGTTTTGAAAGTTTGCTTGGCAGGGGGTTGGACTCGATGGCCCTTGTGGTCTCTTCCAACTCTATGATTCTATGATTCATAGCTCATTGTGGAAAAGCAGCATATGAGTGAACTCAGTCAGTGACTCTAGTACTGCCTGTTCAAAGGCATTCCTCCAAAGGTGCTAACATAATTTTCTGGGCAAAGTGCACTGCAGATCAGATCCTCTACCCTCCCCTCAAAAGATAAACATATTTGCATAACAATGGAATATGCTAATTTACTTGTGTAGCTGCAGATGTATAAGTAAATAAGTGAGAAGACTCTTACCAGGCATAGCTGTCAACTTTTCCCTTTTCTTGCAAGGAATCCTATTCGAAATAAGGGGATTTCCCTTTAAAAAAGGGAAATGTTGACAGCTATGTTACTAGGTCAGGGGACATATTGTCCCCATCTTTTTCCTTTGGTAAATATCAAACTGGTAGGAAACCTTTTTTATATGAAGGACCATTGACCCACAGAAAAGATAAATTGAGGCACACACAGAAGTAAAAAGCTATCTGATTGGCAGGATGTCAGCAAGCACGGCTTTTTCGTAGTTGTACTTCCATGCTAGCAAAAACTTTTGTATTCTTGCTTGCCGCAAATATAGTGCCTCTTCTGTTATCGGTGTTTAAGGCACAAGAGCCCTGCTCTCCCACAATACCAGTCCTAAACTATAGAAAGATCTCAGGTGCATTATATAACGGTTGTTACTGTGGGTCTGTCATGTAAGGCTGGATACATTTCAAGATAAGGCGTGATGTATTAGATGGAGGTGGTGTCAGAGTCAGTATTAAATGGTTAAATGCAAAAGGTATATACTGTAAGAACATTGGCTGTGATCACTTTTTAAATATCCCAATGACAATAGCAGTGTTGTCAACACAGATCAAACAAGCACCCTTTCCTTTTCTTTTTTGAGCAAAAAGGATTTGACCCTTTGACATTAATATGCTCATTTAGGTGTTTATACCAGCACCAGCAGCCTATGCACCCAAACCCCCTATTTTTTTCTGATAGGCAGGGGAACTTTTTCCAACCTCAACCATTATCCTGATCTTTATAGACTTTTTCTTTTTGATTTTTATATATTTTTTAAAAATATAAAACACCCTAATATTTTAAATTGTTTTTATAGGGAAATAAATGCATGTGCTGGAGCCCCAACCAAACTTGTGTGATATCTCCATGTGCTCCTGCTCCCTTCCCCACACTAGTTGTCTTGTTTCCTCCTCCCTCAAGACCCAATACAATAATTTTTTCATTGACTATTTTGAATGCTGCTTGTGCAATGAACAGGTGGCTTGGCTGACAAGTCCCTGCTGAAGGTGCTTCAAGTGCCTTCTCCTACGCCTGCATAACTCTTCCTCTACCCCTCCTTGTGTGCAGTTGCCTGATCTTGGGGTTCACCCATGCTCACAGATGTCCCCCTCTTGCTTGTGGGTGTGGGCATTTTGGCTACAAAGCCATTAGCATGTGCCTTCCATCTGCGGCTCTCTTTGCCTTCTGAGAATATGCCCCTGTGGGGTTGGGATGCCATTGTGAGATGTGGTGCCCAAGGCTGTGGGTTCCAAACCTTTGTCTTAAAGCTTACTACCTTAGGCTGTGAGACTTAACTATACAAGCAAATCCACAAGGGGCAAATGCTTCTGGTGGTGTCATCTTACAGTGTATTCATTATCTCTTTCAAAATGCTGAATGTTCTTGAACAATTGATTACATGGGTGGATCCCATCTTCCATTCAACCTGCTTCTGAAGATACGCCTTCAGTAGGGGCTTTGATTACATTTGTTTTCTTCCTGTTAATATCTTAGTATATTCTATTGCTATTAGTATATTTGTAAATAGTTAACATATTTACTTTTACTATCTCTTTGTAGCCATTTGTTATACATGATATGGATACATTGTGTATGGCAGAGAAGACACTGGTGGCAAAACTGGTAGCCAATGGAATACAAAACAAGGAGGCAGAAGTTCGAATTTTCCACTGCTGCCAATGTACCTCCGTCGAAGCTGTAACAGAACTTACAGAATTTGCCAAATCCATCCCTGGCTTCTCTAACCTAGACTTGAATGACCAGGTGACACTATTAAAATACGGAGTTTATGAAGCCATTTTTGCCACATTAGCCTCTGTAATGAACAAAGATGGAATGCTAGTAGCCTACGGAAATGGTTTTATAACTCGAGAATTCCTCAAAAGTTTAAGGAAGCCATTTTGTGATATCATGGAACCGAAGTTTGATTTTGCAATGAAATTCAATGCATTGGAGTTAGATGACAGTGATATAGCTCTTTTTGTGGCTGCTATAATTTGTTGCGGAGGTAAGACTTAAAGCTTCTATACCTATGTATTCTAATTAGTGATTATTTCCATTTATACTACCTCCCCACCTTTCTGCAATAGTATTCAGGGCAGCTAACAATAGCAATAAAGCAATTATTTAAGCAAGTAACAGTAAGATAAAGAATATAACAGTAGATTTTGGGTGGTTGAGAAACAGATGGAAAGACTGGAATATTTCTTGCGTTATACTGTGCTGCTGTTCCTCATGGACCTCATATGAATTTTACCTTTCCCTGTTTCTAGTAATTTCCTTTCATAAGTTGTTTGAGTTGGTTGAGAGCAAAAATGGACAAAAGGATAGCTATAAATGACAAGGCAAAACAGTTTAACAGATCAAAAGCATGTTTTTGTCTGTTTAAAAGCTGCTTTCTGTTTATATTGATCTCGTGGTTTGTGGCTGTATGAGGATTTGAAGTGGGTTTTCCCTAGTCTAGCAGTCTTAAAAACTCTACCACCCTCATTCTTGCAGTTAACATTAGGGAGAGGGTCTTTTAGTGGGTCTTTCAGTAGGGTCTTAAGCAAATATAATTTATGGTCACAGATTAACTCTTCTACAATAACTTGATGTGCTTTTTTCTGTTTTGGTGAACAGATCGCCCTGGCCTTGTAAACATAAGACACATTGAAAAGATGCAGGAGAGCATTGTGCATGTACTAAAACTTCACTTGCAGAACAACCATCCTGATGACATCTTCCTTTTCCCAAAGCTTCTACAGAAAATGGCTGACCTCCGACAGCTTGTCACAGAACATGCTCAGCTTGTTCAGATTATCAAAAAGACTGAATCTGATGCACACTTACATCCTTTACTACAAGAAATCTACAAGGATATGTACTAAGGCTGTTTTTTGTTATGTTTTGTTTTTTGTTTCGTATGACGTGAAAATACAAAAGCAATAGATGGGAGCAAACTACTTTGCACAGTTCTCTCTGTTGTGCTTTTATTTCAAAGCATTAGTGAGCTAAAAGGTATGTAACTGCAATATCATATTTTTCTTGCCAGGAGTTATTTTTAAGTACTTAAGAGAAACTGTATAGTATGTGTAAAAAAAGGCAATAAGCTGTGATTGACTTGAAATTTGGGCAACAGTGGTAATATCATTTATAGTACATCTGAACTTACTAACAACATACACTTCTTCTGAAGTTTCTGCACTTTTAAGCCTTTCTCCCATCATCTTCATTACTGTAAGAAAGCTAGGAGTTTGGGCCAGGATCCAAAAGCTTTTATGTGATGTCCATTAAAGCTTTAACAGCGTTTCTCCAAGAGCAGTCCTCCGTGCTATGTGGTGAGTTGCATTTTGAAACTCAAAGGTGTTTCAAAAGCAGATTGGGATTTGACATGGTGGGGGCAGAGATGTCTGCCATTGAAATAAGTCATATGCTACTGGTCATACCCTATCCCTTAAATCAGGGATAGCCAATATTGTATTCTCCAGATGTTGTGAACTACATCTCCCATAAGCCCCAGCCAGCATGACCAAAAGTCAGAGGTAATGTGAATTGTGGTCCACAATCCACCTGGCCTAGCGGGCGAGGCCCACACTCACCCAGCCCTACTGAAGAGGCTCCTCATGAGGCCAGAGGAACATCGCCCGGCTATTGTTTTATTATTTATTGATTTAATATGCTGTACACCGCTTTGAGGTTTTTATTAAAAATATAAAGCGGTATAGAAAATTTAAAAATAATAAAATAAAATATCTGAAGGGCACCCTAGTCACTAGCCCTGCATCTAAAGTACAGTAAGCCCGCAATTTATGCTGGGGTTATGTTCTGGGGATTGCGCTTAAAGCCAAAATTGTGTATAGTCAAAGTACATTGGGCTCCCACACTGGCGGGTAGGATTGCCAAAGTCTTTTCCCCCAGATGTCTGCCCCCCTTTTATTTATTTTTATTTTTGCCAAGTGCGTAAAACTGAATGCGCACAAGCTGAAAGGTAAATAAATTGTAGGCTTACTGTAGTTTCTTTAGCTCCTGTCCCTACCTCAATTGTTTTCCATAAAGGATTCATTTTTTAAAAGCTCTCTTCCTACTTAAGGCTGCAATCCTATGCACAATTTCTGGGAAATAAATTCCACAGACGTCACTGGGACTTGTGTAAGATTGCTGTGTTGTTTTATTTATTTAACTGAAATGAAATCCCATTGGCATGTCAAAGCCATAATGATATTGGGAAATATATTTCATGATGTGCAACCAGGCCCTCCCTCTTCCATGGTTCATGCCAAACTGCTTATTTCCAGTCAGCTATGCAGGATCAATACACAACATTAAAAAACCTTATAGTCATGCAGAGCCAATTCATAATATCTTGTGTATTCTGGTGCTTGAGTTTGAATTTGAAACATTGAATTTCTAAAACAGCTCTGCTCTGGGCAAACTTCATGTTAAGCTGCTGTTTAGTCTTATAGTGAGCCATAGATACAACAAAGTTGATGTATCTGACAAAATGTTGCTTCCATGCAGCGCTGAAACAAGGAATAGGAGTCAGAGTAGTGTGTTGTTTGGACTTGTGGATAATTTTCTAATTCAGTGCCCTTTCTTCACTACCGAAGCAATAATACTGGGGGGGGGGGGGGGACGGGACAAACCGCATAGAGGCCAAGGTGTTCCAATACTGTAATAAGTAGCTTATTAAGGTTATGTTTAATCCAGATGCTCAGCACTAATGCAAGTTGTTACACGTAGTTTTTGTATTCTATAGACAAAAATCGATCATAAAGGCTTTCCCTCTCCTGGACCCCTGAGAACTCTTTTTGGGGTGGGGGCAATGAATCTCATTCAGATATCTCAGAACTTTCACCATTCTGCAGTTGCCAGGATTCTTTGGAGAAAGTCATAACCTTTAAAATGGTATCAAACATGTCTGCAGTGTAGATGTGTCCCTAGAGCTCTTTATATCAGATGCATACACAACTTCTCACAACAGTGTTTCCTTTGAGGATCATTTTTAATGGATGCACATGAAAGGCTGCAGATATTACAAAAACTGCTGGGGTTTGTTTGTTTTTAATTCATTGTATTTCTAGGTGTGTGCATTTGATGTTTTTAAATACTACTGTTTTATAGGCTAGGGGCACGGGTGGCACTGTGGGTTAAACCACAGAGCCTAGGACTTGCCGATCAGAAGGTCGGCGTTTCGAATCCCCACAACGGGGTGAGCTCCCATTGCTCGGTCCCTGCTCCAGCCAACCTAGCAGTTCGAAAGCACCTCAAAGTGCAAGTAGATAAATAGGTCCCGCTCCGGCGGGAAGGTAAATGGCATTTCCGTGCGCTGCTCTGGTTCGCCAGAAGCGGCTTAGTCATGCTGGCCACATTTTGGCTCCTAGGCCAATAAAGCGAGATGAGTGCCGCAACCCCAGAGTTGGCCACAACTGGACCTAATGGTCAGGGGTCCCTTTACCTTTTATTTTATAGGCTACACACTGCAACTAGTCACATGTGTCTGCTAAAACTGTAATTTGTGAGGTCCTCTGTATTCTTTAGGATTGCTTCATTTGTATTCTGTGCAAATACTTTTATTAGAACACCTGTTTCAAAGATAACATTTTATAAGATCATAGCAAAATCAGTCACCTTGATTTTGGAAGAAGAAGAAAAATCCTAGATCTGCTTTAGTTGGTTATTTTTGTGGCAACTCCATCTTTCCATTAAATATCTTCCCACTAAAATACATGGATGGCATTTGCAAGAGGGGCTTTCTGTGATTTTGTAAAAAGTATTGGGTTTGTATTGCAAGATCCAAATAGTTCCACCCTTTACATTCTTAATTACTTTACCGAATGACAATCCCTTATTTTTAAAATTTGACCTGGTTTCTGTATAGCCTGAAACAGTAGCCTGCCTCAGGTTTCTGTTCCTGGCTACTATATGCTGGTTTTTCTCCAGATCGTTTAAATCCTTTGTATTTCATAAACCATGGCTTATTCAGACTGAAACCAATATTAGAGCCCTCTGGCTCTCCTCATATTGTGCCCCAGCTGTGGCATGAAGAGCCTTGCTTATATTAAGGCCGGGCTCACTCTGGTGCCCAAGCTGGAGAACTCTGGCTTAATGTCAACAAACTAGGATCATACCTGGGTTTTTTTTACCATGTTGTTTTTAAAAGTTTGCAAGCTGCTGTTGGTTTCTAACTGACCAATCACCAGCATTTTGCTTTCTCTCTGTGGCCTTCCCTTTCGTGGCCTTCCATGTAATTTAGAATAATTTAGAATGCTATGGGATGCAGTTGTAGGATGATGTGAAGATTTCTAGTATTTTGTGAATACCTGTGGGTTGCACCTATGAATTACAAGTGCTGAAATAACTTTTGAGAGCCTACAGAACTTCAGTAATATGTTAGTCAGTGGATTTTAGGAGAAGCACTGTCAGAAAGTGCACTAGAAGACTGCTTGCACTATCATTCAGAGAACTCAGGATTGGGACCATAACTCAAGGTGCAACGTTGAAGAAAAAATTGTTTTCCAAAAATGAAATTGGCTACCTCAGCAAATTATGAAAAAGAAGGCAGCAAGCTGACTAGCTCAATAAATTTATAATATATGACTCAGGGTTGCAAGTCCAAGGTAACTGGAAACAGTTCTAATATCTACTCTCATCATGCAAATTGTGTAGCTTGTGGGGGGAGTCACACTACTTTATTTTTTGCACACTCATATCCATGTTGCATTATTTCTGTGTATTTAACCTGTGGCACTTTCATTAACTGTTAGCTACTAATTATTACTTACGGTAATTATAATGTGAGAGGGGCACTTGAATGCATGGACATTTGAGCTGAGTCTGCTCCCCTCGCTTCCTCGAGCACACTGGGGTATGCTTTTTCCTATTCTCCAAGTGAGCCCATAAAGCTTGACATTTTTCACACTACAGCAAGATTTTGTGTGCCATAGGAGTGGCAAATGCAATTTTCCTGTAAAGTCCCATGTGGCCCAACACGCTTTTCAGTCCTGCAAAGATCTCTCAGCACCAGCTGCCAAGTTAGTGAGTTTTCTCTGTGGCCTCTGCGCTGGAGATACCACTTCCCTTCTCTTCCCCTGTGCTAACCAAAACCAGAGAGCTCTACGTAACAAAAATGCTTCTTAAAACAGATCAGCACAGTTGACTTCCACCAAAAGAAGTGGAGGGTGGGCAGTACCTCACGTAGCTTGGGCAGCAATGGCACCACATGGACAACGGCTTTTAACACTGACACAAGCTCACTTTCAGTGAGACCACAGGAAGTAGGCATAGATTGAGCTATGGCCCTGTGACGAGATTTCTTTTTAGGCCCATATTTATAGCTGCTGCTTATCAGTGCCTTGTAGAATTTCTTCACTTTGCCATCTAGCACCACCTCAGCATGGTGCAGTTGTGCTGTCCCCCTCAAACTGAGTCTCAAATTGATGATGTTGACTTCAATGGGATAATAAGAGTAATTGAGAAGTGAGCCCATACTGATCCTATTGTTCTGTCTTTTCTATATGTGTAACTCTCCTCTGGGTTTCATTTCATGATGTTTCACTGTGACCTGGAAATAGTTATATATGTTGAATTTGCTGTGCTTCTCCGTTGTAAAATATATTTGATGTTGTGCTGCTATTATTTAATCAAACGTGATAGTTTTGATCCATTTCATATAAATAATGCCATGAACAAACCTATAGAAAATTGGTGGTGTAACAATTTTTAAAGAAAGCATTGGGTTAAATTTAATTTTTCACAGTTCTAAATATGCAAATATTTTCAATAATATGGACACTTTCACAGATGAAAAATTGGGAGCCGTATATTATAGCAGTAATGGGCTTGTTTAGAGTTATGTTGCAGTTACAGTTGCCATTCATGTGCAGGGTTAGTTCTTCAGTGAGTAAAGGAGACTCTAATATAACTGTTTACAATAGTTATAAACCTGAATTTTACAGTTTTTAGGATTTTTATCTGTGGTCTAGTAGGCATAATTAGACCCACCAGCTTATTTCTGTTGCTATAAACTTTAGATTTAAGTATGTTTTGCACTGAATTTGCACTGAATTTGTAATTAAAACTTTTTAAAAAATATATAGGGAACAATTAATAAGCCAACATTGCTATGCAACCCACTTAATGTGCCAGCACCATTGAGATGGATGGGAGAGTTGCACAGCACCATTCCTTGGTAGGTTGTGCTATTTAATGGTGACTTTTGATTGCCCAAGGAAAGAGACAAGCCATAGAGACAGAGCCTGATGCTTCCAATTATGTCTACTTTGGAGCTAATGGAAACAAACCTCATATAAAAACATGTTGGTAACTTAAATATTTGTGATTTTAGTTTTATTTGGAAGCATTCTAATATGTTGCCTTGAGCAACATAGGTGATACCTGCTCTACTTGCAAAGGCTTTTACTGATTGATATTTACAATTTACACCTCCTTGTGTAGAACAGTTTTAAAATGCCGGCTTGAACCAGAGTACCTAACTGACAACATAGTCTATAACTTTATTTTTCTGCGCTGTTTATTTTTTTCTAGGCAGCAATAAAACAACCTGTGAAAAGCTCTATCAGATGTTTTATAACTGTATTGTAAGCTTGCTTTCTGAGACTCTGCTTCTGAATCTGTTATGCTCCAGGGTCATCAGGCTTTTCTAAAGATGTTTGTTAAATCATAATTGGGAGAGGGGGGAGCAAAGCAAGAGTTAGACTAAGAAAATGACCAAGGATCAAACCTCATGTCTGCATTTAGAATAGTTTTCACAAATGGAGACTTATTAAAGGAAAGATCTTAGGATTTCACCCAAGGATTAATGGACACTTACTCAATGAATGCAAGGTAGACTCATTACAGATACAGTGAAGGAAGAAATCCCTGAGCGTCCTTTCTAATTCAATGACTTGTGTTGCTTTTTAAAAGCTTTACTAGCTAATGCCTAGGAAATGTACAATTAATCAAAATTCTATCAACACGTTGATTTCCAAGGCAATGAAAGAAAACAGTTAGGGTTACACTGACATGATGGGCAAAGAGGAACAGTCGTTTATCTAATTGATTCTTTCCAAAACGAGATCCCACTGACAAGTTGGCAAATGAGATGAAGGGAATCCAGGTTGCTTCAAACGCCCCCAGTTTAGATTGCCACTTGAACAATCTGATGTTTTCAGTTTTTTCAATGCGCCTAATGCAACTATATCAGTTATCAAATGAGAATTCGGTTGAAGCTGGGTTTTTTGCCTTATTTTGAAGGTGGGTTACTTAATGAAATACTGGGGATGAGAACTTAACTCCAGACATCTCCCTTAAGAGAGGGCTGGTGGCCTTTAGACTTCCCAGCTCTGCCTTGCAGTTCAGTAGCTTTTAAGGAATTTTAGTAATATTTGTTCAAAATAGAGGGAAGAGAAACAACTGGGGTTCATGCTTCATGACACATGCTTCATGAGAAATTCAGCCCCTCCCCCACCAATAAAATCACCGGTGGGGGGGGGCATGGCCTGGTTGGGTTCATCTGACTTCTCTATATAGGGAGCATCACCATGGTCTGATTTCCACAATGATTGGGATACTTTTAGAGCTGCCACTGTTGTGAGAATTTGTGCATCCATGTGCACAGTATCAAAGTACAGTGGTACCTTGGGATGCAAACGGAATCCATTCCGGAGCCCTGTTCGCATCCTGAAGTGAACGCACCCTGTGTCCACGCGGGTCGTGTTTTGCCGCTTCCGCGCATGCGCACATCATTTTGACCGTCTGCGCATGCATGTGCACGCAGCGAAACCCAGAAGTAATGGGCTCTGTTACTTCTGGGTCGCTGCAGAGCGCAACCCAAAAATACTTAACTTGAAGCACATTTATCCCGAGGTATGATTGTATTGAGTTCTATAAATAGTGCTTTTCTGCTAGACAGCTGCACTTCAAATAATCTATAGATCTCTCTCTCTAGGGACTTGAGTCGGAGAAGGGAAAAGACTTGTTATGTTCACTATGAAAGTGATAGTTGGGTAATACAAAGGGGGCATGTTAGCAGTTTTGCTTTGTTTCCCTTCAATGTGTTCCCTCATCCCACCTCAAGGGTTAACTTATTGCAAGACTTGCTATGTTTCACCTGCTTTTAAGCATGAGGCAGGGAGCTGAGAAATGCTTAGGCCTTCCACAAAGCGGCAAAACAGCTTTTAGGAAGAGGAATGTGTACTATACTTGCTTTATAAATAAAAACACTTGAGAAATAGTAGTGGAGGAGAGCATTCCAGCTTTAATTGACCTTGCATTAAACAACAAAGCAATGCTTCACAACATTTTTGTAACTAGGGAGACTTCATCGTCTAGCACATCTGGATTTTGTGTTGGGTTTTAAATTCAGGTCCTGGTTATTGACCAGCTCAGTCTTTCAGTTCATATGATAGATAACAACATTCTGGTTGAACAAGCTAAATGCAACTTCAAGCTTCATAAAAGCTACCAGGATTAAGGCATGGGAAATCCTAGACATGCAGGTAACTTCTTGCTTTCATTTATTACCAGTGATCAGTTACAGGGTTAAAGCTGTGAAGCAGGGCAGCAGAGCAACTTGATTTTTAAAATGTTTTCCTTAATTCTACTATCCTGTCATGTGCCTTTTGGAGTGATCTGCAGGTTCAGAGACTTAAGAAATTTTGAATAGCAGTATTTAAGTACAGTATCAAAGTACTACATTCTTTGATACAAATGTATAAAAATGAAATAACTTCACATGTATTTTGGATTATTTGTTTTAAACTTAACTTTGGATTATATTGTGATGTACAATAGCCTGTGGAAATGCATCATGTTGTTCGCAAAAACTGTTGAACAGGTTTATGAGATTGGTTTACGTCATACTCTGCATTTACAGTTAAAGGAAATGAAAATGAAACAAGCTCCTTTAAAAAAGAAAAAAGGAGAATTTGCACATTCCCCAACTGGTGGGAATGGATAGTGTGCCTGGCTGGCTGCAGGGGGCTGGACGAACAGTCTATATTCTTGTATGTTGCTTCTCTACGTGATGGAGGATTCTTATGTGCCTTCTTTAGAGTAACACTAACAATGCAATCCTAGCATGTTCACTCAGAAATAAGGTTTTGCTGAGTTGAAAGGGGCTTACAGGATTGGAATCTTAACTCAGGTTAAATTCAGTAATAAAACAGCTGCATGTAGTAGCATTTAGATGTGGGTATGAAATCTCTTTGGGGACGCGGGTGGTGCTGTGGGTAAAACCTCAGCGCCTAGGACTTGCCGATCGCATGGTCGACGGTTTGAATCCCCGCGGCGGGGTGCGCTCCCATCGTTCGGTCCCAGCGCCTGCCAACCTAGCAGTTCGAAAGCACCCCCGGGTGCAAGTAGATAAATAGGGACCGCTTACCAGCGGGAAGGTAAACGGCGTTCCGTGTGCTGTGCTGGCTCGCCAGATGCAGCTTGTCATGCTGGCCACGTGACCTGGAAGTGTCTTCAGACAGCGCTGGCTCCCGGCCTCTAGAGTGAGATGAGCACAACCCTAGAGTCTGTCAAGACTGGCCCGTACGGGCAGGGGTACCTTTACCTTTACTATGAAATCTCTTTAGTAAAATATGAGTTTTATAGAGGAGTAACATTGAATTCTTCCATTTTCTGCTTGCAGAAGAACTCACCCAGAATATTTAAATCTGGTCGATCCATTTTAGAATAAAAATGCCTGTTAATTGACAATGTATTTTTCTAATTTTTGACATTTTGATTTTCCTGTTCAGACAACAAAGGATTGAATAAGAAAAAATGTATTTAATGAGTCTGCTGGAATATTGTCCAAATCTGTGTGTACTTTAAACTCTGTAAGGACTGATGAATGTATGTAAAAACACTTCACAGTGTGATTTTTTCCTTAATGGTTTAAAATAGTCTTTCATAAAATAAAATATTCATTTAAAATGTATCTTAGTTTTTATTGTTATTACTTTAGATACTGAAAGCATTTTTACCCCTCCCTTTTGCCACACACAGTACAACCACAACCCTTAAGCTTATTCTGAAACACGACACACAAGAAAAATGTAGGAAAAAAACAAACTCTGGGCACTATCACCCCCCAGAGCAACACCTCTCACATTTAATGACAGCTTTTGTTCGCCTCTAAGACAGGGGTGCCCAAACTTTTTTCAAAGAGGGCCAGATCTGATGATGTGAACATGCGTGAGGGCCAACCAAAGATGACCTTTTTTTAGGATTGAAGTTATTGAGCTTTTTTTACCCACAAGGGCCAGATTAGGCTCCCAAAACAGACTTGGGTCATGCCTGCTCTAAGAAAAAGCATTGCATCTTGCACTTAATTGACTGATTATATTCCTCTTCTAAGGGACGCGGGTGGCGCTGTGGGTTAAACCACAGAGCCTAGGACTTGCTGATCAGAAGGTTGGCGGTTCGAATCCCCGCGACGGGGTGAGCTCCCTGCTCCTGCCAACCTAGCAGTTCAAAAGCACGTCAAAGTACAAGTAGATAAATAGGTACCGCTCCAGTGGGAAGGTAAACGGCGTTTCCATGCGCTGCTCTGGTTCGCCAGAAGCGGCTTGGTCATGTTGGCCACATGATCCGGAAGCTGCCTGCGGACAAACGCCGGCTCCCTCGGCCAGTAAAGCGAGATGAGCGCCGCAACCCCAGAGTCGGTCATGACTGGACCAAATGGTCAGGGGTCCCTTTACCTTTACTCCTCTTCTGCTTTTTGTTCAAATGAATTCTAAAGCGGCTTGCAAACAATAAATAACAGTAAAATGATAAAACACAATATAACATCACAAACACGGTATAAATAACATAGAATAAGTAACAAATCATCAGTGAAACAATTGCAATCTATAAAACACCGTTAACAAAGCAACAACTGAAAACGCCACCACAATTAAAGCAAAAGTCATATATGATTTCCCTTGGTAGTGAGAGAAGTTGGGCGTGGTTGATTGTCTTGGCTGTATAATCAAATAGAAAGAACTCCAGTGACACGGGTGTAAAACCACACATGCCCACTATTAAGTATTACCACCCCACCTCCCTCTCCCCCCTTCTCCTTCCCCAACAGTATTCAAAACAACACATTCTCACATCGAAAGTAAAGAAGATTCTACAATTTGGAAAAAAGAGAACGCATGTTCTTTTGTAAAACTAGAAAATCTTTAATAATTAAGTCATATTTAATTAACAAATCAATACTGCATTTATGAGGTATAAAACAGTATTCGTAACAACAGGAGACAAGAAACAAGCTAAGCAGGGTTAAGTTCAGGCACACTCCACACCCCCATGACTCATAATCTTTCAGTGCATTAAAATACCCTTGCAAATAATGCCTGTGGCAGCAACTCCCTTCTGAAGGTTCCTCAGGCTGCAGGTGGGGCAGCACAGGTGAAACCAGCCCCCCCCCCCATGGCAAAGAGTCTCCAGAGGAAGAACTGTGAGGGGAGAAACAGCTCCCCCCTGAAGACCCCTAGGGCTGGAGGGTGGGGCAAGACAGGTGTAAAAAGGCAGGTTGCAGAATTTTTTAATATAGCAAAGCACTACAGTGCTACACAAAAGAGCAACTTTTAAAATTAAAGGTGATAAAATGCTGCCTGCCACAAAGGCTATATTGAATGTGTGACGAGCTGCGAAAGGGTCACCTGCTCACATCCAAACCACACCTCTTAACACTTGAAACAGTAGAGCTAAGGGCATCTATAACTTTAGGGATTGTGCTCCTCTTCTACATTTCTCAAAGACAGACGCAGCCTTGGGAAACAGGAAAGGTGATGCTAAGTGAACAGGGCATGGCTGTTCTCCCTTAAAGGCCTTGTGTGGAAGCATCCTTCGATGCATGCAGTAGATGCTCGATCACTATTATTTCCTCTATTTCTGATGTTAAAGAGATGATCACTGGTCTCTGAAGTCAAAATGTCACCAGCTGCACACAAAAGGAGCTGTTTCAGGGGAAGGGAAGGACCAGCACGGTTGCAAAAGTACAAAACATTTAGGAACAAAAGCCATCAGACTAAAGACTTGAAGGGTTTGGTGTGCATGCAATATTGGCTGAATGTTGGAGGAGGAAAACAGGTGGAGGAATAGAGAGAAGTATCCTGAAATGGAGAACTTCATACTACGACGTTTTGTAAGTTCCACTTTACTTGCTTGTAGTTCAAAGATTAAATCTACAGCAGAAATCATTTAAATTGTACCTTCTACTCTAAAATGCGTATTTCTATCATATGCTACTGCTTAAAGTTCAAGGCTTACACAGTACTTGCCACATAGGCTGCTGAACTTTTGTGTGACTAGAATTTGTGGCTCCATTGTATAGAAGACATGCTATGTGTTCAGCAAATTTTGCACTAAGATGACAGGCCACAATCTTGAAAAGTTCCTGCAGAAGTCCCACTGATGTGAAGAGAAGATACCAAAGATTTTAGTTTCTCTAAAATTCAATAGTTTTGCATTTTATTTTATTTTTAAAAAGTTTCTATACAATTAGATGTATTATTGGGATTTTGTATTTGATCTTTCTTGGTAGCCTAATTTAGGATGTTTGATTCCTTTGCTCATTATTCCCGTAATTCATTTGAGGCTTCTAAAGATGGTAGTAAAACATGTGCTTGTTAAAGAAAGCTTGTAATGAGTGACCTGTTTGACACTAAGCAAGTTTGACTCTAAGCAAGTTATTTAGTCTTGGGATTGGGACATATTCTGAAAGTCAACATTTGCCAAGTCAACCCCTGAAAGTTACACTTTGATAAAATAACATACAGGGTTGCTGTTGGACAATCATAAATATAGCGTGCATTTTTTAAAAACAATCCTACGATATCATGACTTATTTGCTACCCTCTGGTGGTGACATTTAACACAGTAGCAAAATTATATGCACGTTACTTAGAGATGTGTCCCTCTGTTTTCAAGAGGGCTCACCTCCCAGTGGTGTTTTTTTTAGGATTGCACCTTTAGGATGCCTCCAGGTATGTGTGTGTTGTGGGATCTGTGCTCTCAAACACAAGGTTTTTTGCTGCATCCATATGACATCATGGTAATCAAAATGCCAGCCCACATTTTCCCCATTTAATTTAGTGTTCTCTTTTCTGGGGTAAGTGTAAAAACAACCACCACCTGTTGTCAATGACCCATTTGCAATTTCTCAGCAAAACCTTTATAGTATGAAACCCCTATGTGGTGCTCTACTACATCACTTAAATTCATTGCACCTATGCAATATTTATCTATGAAACGGCTTTAAAATGTAGTTTAATATCCAATAGCCAAGATGTTCAAGATAGAGAGGAAGGTCATTCAAGCTACTGTCTGTTGATGTGTTTGGATAGGCTGCGTGTGCTAAAGAGAGGTAAGACTGGTCATGCAATGGTTATTAAAATACAGCTCCAACACCAGCAGACTTCTGCAGTCCACATAATTTGCATGGCTTTGCTTCCCCCTAACATTATTCATTTTATCCTTTCTTGCATAATTCTGGTTTTGCCAGTTGTGGAGAAGAGCAAAGGCACTGAAGATCTGCCCCTCCCAAATCACTGGGACTCTTCCTTTGCTTCACTTCCCAGCTTTCCAACTTTCAGAAGCAATGTCTACAATTGCAGGTCTGTATTTGCAACTGAAAGAGGGTGACGTCTTCCTTTTAACATAGCAAGCAAAATGAAGAATGGTGTACCCTGTATCCTGTTCTGTACTTTATGGGAGTTCCTGTGCAACTGCAACTTCTAGAGAGCCTTAGGAATGGGCTTGGTCCTTTAAGTGTAGTTATTTCAATGCAGGCTTCCATAGTTATCGGCTGATAGATATGGACTGCTGAATTGTTGCTCTACCTGAACTACATTGAATAAGGCAGGATCTTGGTAGTTTTATTTCTTATGTTTTTAACCAGCCCTTCTCCAGCATACCTACTGGCTACTGGCTATGACAATGATTGACATAAAGGGGTAGCAAATGAGCTGCCTCGGGTGTTCAATTTAACCAACACAATTTTCATTGTTGAGCTGGAGGATTTAACTATTGATAATATCCCCTGGCATAATTATAAGATTTTAGCAGCAGGAAAAATTCTGAGGTACTCTTAAAATGTGGTGATAGCACAGAGAAGTTGAAGCCATGCTGAAAGTCATGACGACCCTTCATTGCCCCCAGGTGGTAAGTTTTTAATAAAATATGCAGAGAGGTGATAGAACAGTCGTAAATGCTCCGTTAGTTATATGTATGGTAATCACAGTTCATTATTCTTCTAATCTGGTGATAAAACTTTCCTGTTTAATCAATCAACAAGTCTAAACAGGAAAACAGCTCCGTCTGGTGGTGCTGAGGCTTGTTTCCTCACTTGCAGTGCAAACTTGTTCAGTGCATGCCTACTGTTTAGTCAGAGGTAAGCTGCACTTTCTTCACTGGGGCTTTCTGCCAGGGCTGTGCTGCCTGGGGCTGAGGGATGCTCTAGTCCAAAACACCTGGTGGGCACCAGGCTGACACACGGCAAAAATTAAAATTAAATCCTCCATCTGAACTATTGCATAAAAACTGTTCTAGAAGAGATTCATCAGACACAGCTTTATATTTGTTACAAAAAACCCACTTGGGCCAAAAACAACCTAGTTTTTCTTTGAAGTCTTGGACTCTCCCTTTTTTGAAGATTGGTGTTGAGAATGAGTTTTCTTTTCCAAATCTTGCCTTATTTCCACTGGAAACTCATTTAAGTGTAACTTAAGACAGGGGAGGCAGAATCTTTTTGCGTAGAAAAGGCTACAGTCCTGAAAAAGAACAGAGAAATTCCTTAACTCACCAAACTTAACACATTACATCTACTCTTATGTATGGCCCCAATCCAGCCAAAAGGTTAGTCCAGGTGCTTTTAATGAGGCATAGTTGTGACTAACTCATTTCTTAGCTTTCAGTGGCACCTGAAACTCAAAGGACTTGAGGATGCTGCTGAACTGCTCCTCCTGCTCCTGAACCCCCCCTTGTGCTCGGCAATTAAGATACATACAGATCCAGCCACTTCTTAAAATTTAACAGCCAGTCTTGCCATCTGGGGTGGCCTGCGCTCCACCTGCTTGTATGAACTCTTTTAAACGTTCCTCACATGCAGCCTGTTTGTTTATTACATTTTACTACACCCACTTTCAGCAAGTACAATACACTGCTGGGTCCACACCCAATGGAGCAGCAGCTCGGTTGCAGCTGGATTGAGGGTGACTAATTAATGAAGCGAAATATAAGATCAAAGGTCTCTTTAATCCAGCAGGTGAATTAAGATGTCCACAATCCTCCTCCACTTAAGGAAATCGTGGTCAGAAGACATGGTGATGGTCACTGGCAGTGCAGTCCAACCCTGTTCAGAAGTCCCAATATGTGCAGTAGAGCTTTCTCCCAGGTAAATGTGCACAGGATTGCTTTTTAATTTTTAAAAATCTGCAAATCCATGGTCTCTCAATGGCTAAATGGAAGCTCCAAGGTCAGAGGCAATGAAAAGCTGAATACCAAAAGCTGTGGGCAAACAACACAGCAACACTATTCTTGCTTTCAAGCCCTGCTCACCATCTTCACTGCAGCCTTTATGGAAGCTTACCTCATGCTCTCTAGCCATTTGGAACTACCACTCCCATCACCCCTGACCCCTGACCCTTGGAGTTCAACATATGCAGGGCATCAGAGTGCAGGTTGACCTATGGCCAACATTAATGGAGCCTTGGCCTGACTGCATAGGGCTCCCTGGTCAATTACAACTTGTGCAAGGTCTATATAACGAGCCTAAATAAATATATTTTGCTATAGGCCAATGAAGGGTGTAAGATCCGTTCGAGGAGGAGGCCAAAACTAATTCCTATCAGACTTGCTTTGAACAAATCTGGAATCCTTAGCTCAATATCATTTTAGAGAACTGGAAGCGGGGAAAGAAATGGGTTATGAATTACGTTTTTCAGAGAATCTTACAGTTGGAAGGTAAACATTTAGCATGTAGCAGATGTGATGAAACAGTTCCTCAAGTTGCACAACTTGGGAAAATCCGATTTTCCTGCAATGCCTCATAATGGTTCTTTATATCCACAACTCCTTCAAGTAAGGGCTGCCTGTCATGACACAACGTGTAGCAATGTGGCTATATGAGATAACATCCAGAGAAGCTTGCAACACCAAAGCAACCCACAGATCTTCATCACAAAAGAAGCCAAACAAAGCTCAAAAGCTAAGAAACAGTCTCCCAAAAGGACTGTGCAGTTTGCTATGTCCTGTGCAAATGAAAATAAATGGCAGAATTCTTTTTGCCCCCCAAAACTCTAGAAGCACAGCCTAGGGGAGAAGTGCTAGGGGCTCCTCAAGGGACATTCTCAATGCTTCAGCAAAATCCAATTTTTAGGATTCTTTGGAGGAAGACACAGAAATGAAAATGGCATAAAACCAATATACATTTGCAGTATAAGTATTCCCTTCATGGTCAAATAATCCAGGCATTAGATATGGCATGTTGCTATGGTGAGCAATGTAAATAACAGGCTCACACTGGGCAGTGTGACTGGTACCAACTGTCCTGAGATCACGAACACACCCACTCAGTAGTTAAGGTCCTGTGGTTCCACAGCATATTTATGAACATTCAAGCAGCTGAAGGGCAAGTATGAGATGGCCAATTGTTCACCTGCAGGTGAAGACTTTCTGTTGAGCCTGGCAGGAGATTCACAGAAGGCCTGGGAACAGAATGACCCTGAACTGTTGATAAGAGAATGACCAGAGAAAAGGAGCATTTTAGGTGTTGATCCTTCAGAGGGCCATAAAAAAACTGAATTATGGAACTGTATTTTGAAGTAGTATATAAAAGGTAATGGCAAAGCAAGGGTGGAAAAAAGGTTATGTTCCACTTGGCTTGGTTTTCATCCTCTAGGTCACAGCCTATGAAACTAACATCAGAGATATAAACGCAGCAGGCATCACGTGCTACTTACTGTGCCAACACACACATGCTTGCAACACAAACTGCACTGAGATCCAAGTATGAGGAATTTGTCCTTGTCAGAGGTGAATGGATCCTTCATGACATAGCATTCCTCCAGAAGGCTGGGAAAGAATCATTCCACATTTTAAAGAGATAGCACTGGCAAGGAACAACTCACATTCCCATATCCAATCTTAAGGACCAGGTCAGTGGCTAATATTCAGCAGGGACTAGATCTGTACTGAGTAAAGGGCTGAAGGGTTAACGGCACTGAGTCAGGCCAGAGCCACTTTCAGAGGAGAGGCATGATAGCCCACAGGCTTTCCATTCACCACTGTGGGAAACAGCATACCAGACCTCCCTCAAAAGTGAACAGGAATGGAAGCTTTAGCTGAATCCTTCCCTAAGCTCCCCTCTTCAGCTGACTTTCTCAAGACAAAGGCAAAGGCTCTAGAGGCCACAGCCCATCCCAGCAAGAATCACAGCAGTGGGGATGTCAGGAGTTGCTTTCTTTCCGGCCTTCAGCAACCAACTCCCGTGCGTGAGCCAAGACACAGGCAAGTAGGAGTGAGCAGCTGAGGGGCAAAACAAGAGAAGGGATCTGCCAGAGACGGAAACCGTTTTGTGCCCTCTCTGGAATTAACCTGCTGTTTCCAAAGGACAATTCTCACACTCCAAAAGGGCACAGAACAACTTGCTCCTGGCCTTTGGCAGACACCAGATGCTGAATGCTCCAGGGACCAAAATAGATTTTCTCATCATGAAACTAGGGGACTCTTGAATGCAGCTGAAAAACAGTGAAGGGTCACTGTGAGGTAAAGGAACAGTTTTGTTTATCACTGACAGGTAAATTGAAAATGATCCTTCTCCCCACTCCCTGCAAAAAGTAAGGGATAGAAACATGGTCCCCATTAAATATCAAGCTCTCAATAAAACTGTGTCCCATGTTAGATGGCAGCAGTTTCCGCTGTCTTATTAGCAAGCCATTCTTGAATCCATAATGCAGGATTCTGCAACCTGGTGCCCTCCAGATGTTTTGACAACAACTCCCTTCAGCACAGGCCAGCATGGCCAATGCTGACTGTGGCCACTGGAAGTTGTAGCCGAAAACATCTGGAGGGCATCACTTTGCAGTAAGGCCATAGCTATAGGTCACCCTCTGGAACTTTCATTCTCAGTTCTCAGGAAACAGTGAGCAGAGCTCAAGATTTCTAGCAGGGAATTCTTGAGACCCTCACCAAGTATAATTTCTGGACCTCTTGAGAAGTGAACTTATAAGAACCAGTTGTTCTTGGATGCCTGTTTGCCACATTCATACTTTATGTGGGAAGAGGCCCGACATCAATTCAGCTTGAAGGTGCCACAAGGCTCTTTGTACTTTTTTGAAAGCAAGACTCCTCAAATATTTCGGTCCTAGCTACACATTTGGCATTTGGCAAAAAACACATGACTGGGACTCCCCTTCTCTGTGCAGGTGCAGACCCCGTTTTCAGAAGACACAGGTGTGGGGAGGTGCTTACACACATAAACTGTTACTTTTCCTAATTTCATATAGCTGTAGGAAAATCTGCTTGGGGTGTAGCAAGGAGAAAGCAGCAGACAAAGGAAGGGAAGGGAAGCTGGGGGCCACCCATCACGGCTGCTCTGCAAATCACTGCAAAAAGAGACCAGGTGGCTGAAATTCCCATCTCTGGGCTAGCCACTGGCCCTCAGCTCCATGGCATTGATCATTCAAAGGAGCTGCTTGCCATAGTGGAGATACTATCATTGGTGGACAGCACAGGGAGTAAGTGGTAAGAGATGTACTTACGTAACACAGGCAGCATTTGGAGGTTTCTGTCCGTAGTAGCTGTATGGGGCAGTTAATCCACACAACTCACACTCGAAAGTGCCACAGCACTGGGACTCCTTGCTGCACTTCATCTGGGACTGCTGCCGACCAAATGCCCCAACAGATGGATTTGTACGTGGAGCCACTCAGCTAGTCCAGGACTGTCCAGAGTGGTCCACACGTGCTGCACCTGAAACTGAAAGCTAGACTTGCATTAGCAGCACCCCATGTTCTTACACACCCAGGGAGGGGGGACCAATCACAGTCCTGGGTCTTAATTTCCTCCAGTGTCAGAGGCAGAATGCAAACAGTGAGGCCTGCATCTGGCTGGCCACCATACAGGGAACAGAAGGTGGGGTGAGGTGGGCTTTTGATTTAAATAGGGATCTTCTCATCTGCTCAAAACAGTCAGCCGTTTCATAACATCTCAAAGCAGCCAGTGTGGAATTAAGATGGGAGTTATTATTTGCTTACTCTGAAAATGTGTGGAACTCATGTCACCAAATATTCTGGGATTAGCAGCTGGGGATAAGACAAACCTAGAACTTTTGAGTGTTCAAAGCAGACGCCACCTTTTACAAAGAGCAAGGAGGAAAGGTCTCTTCCCCAACAGGTACAGAAGAGACAGCAGAGGAAAGGAGGCCGAGAGAAAGAGGAAGAAGAATGACTGACTAGTTACAGGAGCACATGGGGATCAGGTTACATGTTTTAGCTTATTCATTACTACAATCTTGTAGATGAGAGTATCTCCATATTGCAGTTTGTAGGCATGTGCAGGATACATGAGTGCAAAGGCTAAGGAGTAATTTGAACTGGGGACTAAATACAGCGGTACCTCAGTTTAAGAACAGCCCTGCTTATGAACTATTCGGTTTACGAACTCCACAAAACCAGAAATTGTGTCCCGGTTTGCGAACTTTACCTCGGTCTAAGAACGGAATCCGAACGGCGGAAGGGGATCGGTGGTGGGAAGCCTCATTAGGGAAAGTGCGCCTCAGTTTAAGAACAGTTTCGGTTTAAGAACGGACTTCCGGAACAGATTAAGTTTGTAAACCAAAATACCACTGTATTAACTATGCACCAAAACTCTCAGCACTTACAAACTTAGTGTACCTGGGAAATTATCATACAACTATTTGCACTAGAAGACATGCTATTTACCACCATGCGCCCAGTTTATATGCTGAGGGTTGTTATTTCCACAGGGTGGGAGCACTGGGATACGATGCTTGAACATGCTGGGCCAAATGTCCTTCACCCTCAAAAGTGTTGTGGGGGGAGGGGAGGATAGTCACACAAATCAAGCCTAAAGGCATAGAGGCCAATGCATGTCGTGCCCACATAACACATGTGCACTGCTGGGAGGGAATCTTCAGGCATGTGAATGTGTGAGCTGGGAGCCAGTAAGGATGGAGGTTCCTTCCAGAAGCTCTGTTACAAATCCAAAGAGAACAGCAAAGTAAGGTGGGCAGGTATCGTGTTTTACTTGCTTCTCCTCTTCTTATGCAAGCCTTTAAGAGTGACTATTTTTATGTGGCTTTTAATTCTCCACAGCTGCTCTTTATCAGCTAATTGTTCTGCATATTAAGGAAGCACAAACAGATGTACTTTGCACAGACAAGCCTGAACTGAATCTTGGGTTTATGTCAGGGAGGCCTTCCATACCCTTTATTTAATTTTACCAGATTAAATTCATACTGGCACTTGTGGCCTTCCTCCGCTGCAGGGAGTTCGCACACGTGGGTATTTAAATGCCAAGGAGGACCAACTAGCATATTTACAGCTTTGGATAGCAGAGTGTTCTCAGGATCAAGCTGCCCCCATCTACCCCTGAAGGTGTAAACTGCCTCCTCACCTCCATTCAGACATGATTAAAGGGGTCTCCAAGGTATTAGAAAGTAGGAAATGGGATGCAACAAAACCCTCAAATCATGTTGTTAGAGAGCAATAAAATAAGAAGTTAGAAGAGCACAAACATTGTAATAGCTGCATATATGCTAACCATAGCATGCACATCAACGGCACAACATGGAAGTCAGCTACAGTATTTTATCAACTCTTAGTCAATGAGGAGGGGAAATATGTGGACTACTATGTGAATGAATAAGATCGGGGCCTGTAAATATTTGGAGTTGGTGTGCTCATCATCATTTTTTCATTTATTGGTAATTATATTAAGTAACTCAATTTGCAAATGTAAAATGAAGGTATCAGATATTTATTTTTTAAAAGGGGTGTTGCATTACTAGCTGGGGGAGAAGCGACAGGGATATGCTCAGCTGGTTGTAACGCACCAGCATTTGTGGAGCTGACAGCAGGCGCTTCCTCTTTTCTGAATGTGTGCTCTGCGTCAGAAACAGAGATGGAGAGGGGCAGGCAGGTGAGAAAGACCAAGAGCATGAATTGTGACCTGTGAATGGGAGGGAGAGAGGAAGAGGCATGTGTGGTGATGAGACCTGTTCCAGCAGGACCTTGCAGACTTACCACCTGACGCTGTCCGGGTGTGAAGAGCAACAGCAAACGACCCTCTTCTAATTTTGTTATGCCACAAACCCCAAATAGCAGCCAGTTTGTGGTACCCACAGCATTTTCTCAAACTTCACTATGTGCCCCTTGGTCCACAAAGTTTGGGAGCCCCTGCACTCAAGGTCAAGAGCTCATTCAAGAATCCCACTCCACCCCAGTAAGAGAACCATGAATGCCAGAGGATGCCCTGCGAATGTGTGAGCACCCTTGCCCTCTAGGGCAGGAACAGAACTTCCCGGTGCACATTGTGAGAAAACTCACAAAGCCGGCCATTACATTCTAGTTGCAATTCCATTATTGACAAGCAACTGTTCGTGGAATTTCCTTAGGGCATGTCTCTCTCCACATCTGTTTTTCGTAGACCTGGCAGCAATAAAACTGCTGGCACATTGGCCAAGTGAAGCGGGGGCCGGGATGGTTTCAAATTGGATGGGGGGGCGCATGTTGAAACTACTAGATGACCCTCGAAGGGACCTGCTGTGCTGGACTAAGAAGCGGCGGGAAGGAAGAGACACTCGTGCAACGTGCAGCTCCGCGTGCAAGAGGGAGACGCGCCTCCGAGGGCCGAGCGCCGAGGGGCCCGAGTCTCCTCCCTCGCCCGCCAAACTTCTTCCCCACCTGGCGCGGTCCCTGCAGCAAGGCGGGCCCCGATGCCGCCCTAGAGCAGTCGAGCCCCAAGTGTCACTTACGCTCGGAGCTCCCTGGCCGGAGGGGCCGCTGCCCAGCGAGGAGGCGCCAAGTCGCTTTGCGCCCGGAGAGCGCACTCTTTGCGCGCACGTTTTGCTCGGACCCGAGCGCTGCTGCAAACAAAAGACCTTTACTTCCGAGGAAGCAGCGGACAGGCCCAGGCAGCTGCCGGCAGAAAGAGAAGGCGTGGCTTTAGCTAATGCTCACTGCAACGTAGCTTCCCTATTTAAGTCAGCTTCGAGTCGGAACCGCCTGCCAAAAAGAAAGAGAGAGGCCCGCGGCGCGGCGCTGCTCTCCCCTTTTCGGGCTCCCAGCTCCGCAGCCACTTCCTGTGCCTCTGACCGGCCCCTCCTTCTCAAGGAGCGCGAGAGAAAGGCTCCCTTCGGGGAAGCAGGAACGTTGCAGTCTCCCGCGGGGAACCAGCTGCTTCTCACGGCCGCCTTGACGTCTTCACATTCTGAGCTAGTTCGCTAACTCGGACGCAAGTCCCACTTACATGACTTCATTTCCGAGCAAACCTATAAATAGGACTAGCGGAAGTGAAGTCTGCAAGCAATGAAAACTACTTGGAATTAAATCCCGCTGAAAGGGACAGGTCTAGGCTCCGAGGAAATCATAGACTGTAGAGGTGGAAAGGAGCCCAAGGGCCGTGTGTCTCCCCCCCCCCCCGCAAGGCACGAATCTCAACTAAATCACGCAGGTGAAAAAAAGCAGTGCAGTTCTAGTTCCTCCACAGGTATAAAATAAACCCAGCTACGCCGGGGGGGTGGGGATTAAATACATTTTCATCAAATTTCACATCATCATCATAATAAATAATTTAAACAGGGCTGCCTTCAAATGTCTTCTGAAAGTCTGGTAGTTGTTTTTCTTTTTGACACGGGGTGGTTTTATTTATTATTATTATTATTTTGCATTGAGTGATTTTCATTGACACGAAATGCAAAGAGATTTTCACCTTGTTCTCAATGTGGGTCTTCATTCCCCCTTGTTCCTGATGTAGATCTTCACTCAGCCCCTGGCCGGGGGGGGTGCCATTTTCTGGTTCGCCTCTGGTGCCAAAATGTCTTGGGCTGGCCCTGAATTCGAATGCCTGACTAGATCTTCCCTGCAGGCTCATTGGCAACGTCTCTCTAGAGAGGAAGAGAGGTTGCTGCTTCTTTTCCTTGCTCCTCTCAGAGCTCGCTTGCTTGCAGAGGATGGGTAGGCGTGTGCAGGCAGCGGCAAGAAGGAGCTCTAAGAGTTGGCAGTGGGCCCTCAGCTGAGGTGTGGGTCTTGGCAAGTGCTTAGTGATGCTGACTGTCAATGTTGACTCTGATTACAAACACACCCCTGTAGCAGCTGCCCTTGGAAATGCCCACACTACTTGGAGAATTGGGGAGCTGCAGGTGTGAAACAGTAAGTTCAATGCAAACTTTGAAGAGGTATCATTTTGTAAAGGTTCAGCTCTAATTCTTCAGTAAAGATAAACAATAATTCTTCAATAAAATCTGCAGATAGGAAAACTTGGCTCGACTGACTAATTTTAGCCAGGATTCTGTATTCTATTGCTTTGGCTCTTAGTCTGATTGTTAAGACATGTGATGATGTAACTTAATAGTTTCCCCTCCTATCATAAGTTTTTTTTCTCATTTCCAGAAACATTTCTGGTGGCCACTGCAAAGCCTCTGAGGTGGAGGGCACTAATTTTGGGGGTGGCATCCACACAACATTGTGCTGGAGTCAACAGCATCCCATTTCTCCCCACCCTTACTCAGGGGAGGGGATCTAGCTAGTGCAGTTAAGGGGGGCGTAGGGGCAAAAGCTTCAAAGCTGCAGCTGTTTCAAAGTGGAACCATCTGATTTGGGGAGGCGGTTGATGTCTGGCGTGTTTTGTGGCATTTCTTGGGAGAGCTGCTCTACTGCCAGGCTTCCTCAGCTCTGGTTTGGCACAGCTATCCATCTATCTATCTATCTATCATCTTTGTAGCAGTGGAGCAGGACTTGTGCACCATTAAAAAGCCTAACCTGGAATTTTGCTGCTCAGCTCTTTGTTGGTGTGCACGTCCCGGGGCGTTTGTAAATTTTGCAAAACAGGTGAGGCATCAAAGGTGCTTGTGGTGAAATGGGCCGCCTCCTCAGTAGTTCCTCCTTCCCTTCCTGCAGAAACCAAGTCTGACTGGTTGTGATTCTCTTGTGGCACTGGTGGGATGTGTTAAGTCTGTAAAAGGAAAGGGGCAGTAGGAAGGGGGACAGCAAGGAAGGGTCAAGCAAGCCCTTTGCCCTTTGCCATGTAGCCTCAAACTGCCCACTCAGTCCACTACACTGGGCAAGGAAAGACGAGAAGCACTGTAAAACATTCCCGGCTGGGCTTGTTGCTGGTGGCCAAGTTCTGCTCAGCTCCTATTTAAGCACACACACGTGCAAGTGCAGCAAGAATTATACACAACAATTGCACAATCCATGGTACACTCAGATGCTTTCCGTGGCCAGACAATTACAAAAAAATACTCCTAGCTTGGTCATTTTTGTACATGCTCTATGAAGTGTAGCATATGGGAAGCATGGAGAAAGGGCAGGCAGGAAGGGAAAAAATAGGCACTTTCAGTTATCCACCATGCATTGGTGTTGCCTGGATACCATAGATGTAAAAAATGTATAAATCTGTAAGGAATGGTGCTGTACTAAATGATATTCTGATAAAAGTGGAATGAGAAGGTAAAGAAATCAGCAGATTTCCATCCCAAAGCACCTTTACATCTGTAAAAGGAATGGATCCCCCCCCATACTCTGTCAATATCAAATGACAAAATTTCAGCTAGTGTGGAAGTAGCATAGGCAGAGCATTTTACGTCCTGTCTCATACTAGACTTTTAGTGTTCAATATTTATTGGACCACATATGTGCCACATTTCAGTTTGCTAAGTATCCCTAACCAGGTTCAAAGGAGCTGCAGGGTTGCATGGGATGGGCTAACCCCATTGCTCCCATTGCTGACACACCGATTGGCCGCCCACTCACCCAGCAGCACATGCAAACTGATGTACACATGCAGAGCTGCTCCATGGCAAAGGCTGGTGGTGATGGTCCTGGCCCAATCAGGAAGCCCTCTAGATGTGTAGGGTTACTTCTTATGTATGCTGAAGACACAGTTGCTAGGGGTGCCATGAGCAGGGGTTGGGGTAGCCTTACACAATAGGGTTCACCTGAAATATCTTTAATAACCCATGAATTAGTGGGCTGGCCTCTAGATTCAGTAGCATATATGCTGCATTTGTCAACATGAGTACAGTACAGTCTGTGCACACCATAGCTATTTGCATGCTCAGCTGCATCTGCATAAGCACATGCATGGCACAGTAGTCCTACAAACATATGGGGTACAAAAGATGAAATCAAGGGCAATGTGTTTCATTCCTGAATGTTATTACCCCTCATGGCTCTGCAGTTGATCCAGCCTGATATTAATAATGCCACAAAGTAATTGTAAAGTAATAGTAGTAATGACATACAAATAAAATAGTGAAGCAAACAAAACGCCTCATGCAAATGACAGGACAGTTTTACTATTAAGGTTACAGTCTTCCTCTTTGGCAAAAAGGCACTCATTACACTTCTCACACACCCTCTCATCTCAAACATTGTATATTGCTGTATTTTAAGAGATTAAGAGATAATAAATTAGGTCACCCAAATGAAATCTCTATTTGAAACAACAACAATAATAACAACAGGGTTTTTTAATGCAGGATACATACACCAAAGACCTGTTCCCCAACCCTTTCCTACAGTTTTATAACACCCTCCCTCCTTGTTTTCTCACCTGACAAGAGAGGTTGAGGGAGGCACGGGTGGAGGTGTAAGAAACTGAGGTTACACCGATACTGGTTCTTCATCCAGACTAGTGGTATGGGAGTGCTTGCAGTTAATTAAGTGTAATCATTCCATAATAGCTTCTGTGAATAAATGGGATGATGTGGAGCGCGGCACTGAAAAGCAGTTTCATTGGGAATTAGCACTGATTAATATTTGGAGCAATCCATTTTTCCTTACTTCTTCCTTTCTGTCTTTTTAAATGTGCAGTTTTCATTCAGTTTTGAAAAAGCCAGCTTAAGAATCAAATGACAAGATAAACCATTTTTTTGCCATTTATTTTTCTGGCTTTGAGCCCCAGGTGGTGAGTGCTTTTCCTCTCAGGATGCCCAAACAGAACTCTGTTGAAAAGCTCTGCATCAGCTGTGGATGCTGACCTGCAGGTTACAAAAAACCAGACTCTGCGAATCTTATGAAACAGAAAATTTACTACCTCTGCTTCATCAGAAGGCTCTTCATAGACGGGTTGCTTCATGTCCTCATAGGCAGACATAATCACAGCTTGAAATAAATTGATCAAAACGCAGATCATCACCATCATGAATGAAGCTAGAAAGAGACCCCCCAGAATCCTATTGGATGTAAAGGCAGTGTCTTTAAAAGCCGAAACACAGTAAGAGAATACTGTCTGAGCAGAATGAGTCATTGTGTTGTAATTCCATTCGTGTTGTCCAAATACCAGGTAACCAAATGCCATGTATACAAAGAAGTACACCGCCACCACTAAAGCCATAGAACAGATGCCAGGAAGGGCTGCTAAAATAGATCGCTGAGCCAGGCGCACATCGTAAAAGAATCGGGAATACCGGAGAGTTTTCAAGACTATGAGGAAGACCAAGAAACCCAGAGTTATCCGCAATGTTTGATCAACATGGGAAACTTTATGGAACGGAACAAATTCATCTGGGTGAAGTAAAAACAATTCTGTTATTGCAGAAGCCAATTTAAATTTGAAGGCAAGCTGCAAAAGGAAGAAGAGACACACACCCTTTATCCCAAAATTAATTAAATTTGAAACAGTTTTTATGTATTTTAGCCTTTGTTGCTCCACCACAGAAAACTCATCGATGATGTAAAAGACAAGAATATAGCCAACAGCTATATAGACAAACTTTTTCATACCACTTAGCTGCTTGAAAATGGGGAGTGTGTATGAATGGATCATCAAGCTTGTGTTAACAGGGCCTAAATTAGAAATCTCAAATACAACTGAGATACTGCAAAATAAATCGACATCTGGATTAAAAGTTGTCATCTCAACTATCAGTGCCCAGGTATTTTCATCAAGCCAGCTGCTCCCTTTTAAAGTATTGATTCTTTTTGTTGAGTTAGGCAGTTGCTCTTCTGGATAAAAATTAAAAGTGTATCCTCCTGCTCCATAAGTGTTTAGTTCTCCATATGAATTATATTGCCAAGGATCAGTGAGGGAGTGGTAAGTGAAGCCTGGAAAATTGGCAAAATTATTTGAAACAGACCTATTGGCTGTGTTTGCCCAAGACCCAAAGTGGTTTCTTTGCTCTTCACTGTCATGGCCATACTTATGAAGGCAATGGCTTGTACTAATCACAAATTTATGTACAAAACTATGTGGATAGAAACATTCTTTTATTGTATTCTTTGCTCTAACTTGCCGCATTCTGGGTAACCCAAGGAT